ACTTTGAGTATGTGTAAAATATTAATGGTAGTCGCTAAATTTTTAAAAAAATACTATTCAATCTAGTTGAAGTATATATATTCAATAAATAAAAGAAAATTTTAAATTGTAAACAAAATTTTTTTTGAATAAATGCCAAAAAAATCGACTTTTTACCCATAGTGCACTGACAAATGTAAAAATAATAAAGAGCACTTGACTAAATTTTTTTAAATAATTCCTTTTTTATTATTAATAACAAATAATATATATATATATATTTTTTTTTTCCACAGATAAGTCTACATTTATACACGATTTTAGTAGCTTTATCAATAATAAATACACAATTATTGATTCTATTCTGAAAAAGAAACTGGATTTTGTTACTATAAATAAATATATGTATAAATCTTACATATATGTAAAATTCGCTATATATTTCATTTCGCTGACATATTCTTTAAAATAGTCTGTGCAAAGTTGCCCATCTCCTAAAAAGTTACATAATTAGTTGAATTTAAATAGAAATTGTAAGCCATTTTAATACTTACTTCACAAGAATCCAATAATTCCTTATTATTACTGATCTCCTTAAGTGTAATTTCGGCAGTTGTATTTTGATCTCGAGTAGAGCTCCATTTGCAGCTCACCGAGAGAGCGGAAAGTGCTCTTAGGGTAGCGTCCAATTTGTCGTCATATTCATTCTTGTTCTCCAGATTGTTCAAAAGAATTGAGACTGCGTTTTGTTTATTTATGTGATCTGTAAATAATATATATGTATATAAACATAATATATATGCATTGCATTAGGTTTTAATTGCCTTACCTCTGATTGAGTTCTCCCGCGAAGCTAGAGAACCAATAAGAAAGGCCGCCTTTATGTATACCGATTTATGATCCGACTTTAAGCAAGCCACCAGAGTTTGAATACCCTTTGTGCCCAGAAACTCTTTCAGTCCAGGCGGATAGTTTTGTATCAATGATGATACGGCATAAATTGAACCTTTGGCCACATCCTCATCAGCGTCATTCATGGTTGTGGTTAGCACAGGAATGATCTGTTCTTTATAAAAATAGTTTTGACAGAATTCATTGTTCTGGGCCATTTCAGCAACTATATAAATGGATTGTTGTCGGAAGGTATTATCCGGAGTTCGAATATACTGTAATAATAGGGCGGCGCCTCCGATTTTTACAAACGAATTTGCCATATCAATATCACTGATCTTATCTCGTATTAAGTCTAAACTGTCAATTTTCTGTTCAAGAGTTGTGGATTCAGTTCTTAAAATTAATAAAGCTGCCTCCAAATCATCTCCCGTCATGGCCTTAAGAGCACTTTGTAAGAAACTCATCCTCTGGAATGATAATAATGATTCATAATTATTATTCAAGCGTTCCATAACTTCAGATTTACTTCTTATATATTACCTTTTCATCCGTTTCTTCTGGTTTTGTATTTGTTGGTTCGTCATCTTTTCCAGAATGTTCAACGGCCAGTCTAAGCAATGACTGTAATATAACAAACAGTTAGCTCATTTTTAAAATAAACAGAAGTGCTATTATATCAAACCTCTAATTTTTTTTTAGGATTTTTGGAAGTACGGTTGGACGCCATATTAATTACTTATTGATTTAGAAAAAATCTAAGAGTTGCAGAAATCAATTGGTTGTGTTTATGAAAGACTAATAATATAAACATGTGAGACGGTGTATTTATAAGAGATGAGTGCAGTTCGATATAAACGGTAAGTATCGATAGGCATCAATTGGAAAAATACTAAAATGGTGCCATATCGTCATCCAATGGTGTTGGAAATGATATTGAATTTAACGGACAATCGTTGGTGTTACCACTTCACCTCCCTCAATAAAATCATGTTAACAAATGTAACAGTATGTTAAAGTTAAAGTTGGCCAAATAGAGCTCTATACGGAGACCTATAAAGTGCTTGACGTTGATGCAGCTGAATCGATATCAATATTTGTTTTGAAAAAGAAATAGATAAGATAGAATAGACACGCCTTGAGTTACGTCAGCATGCAATAACCATCATAAGGCAATTAAACGCTTTTAGGATTTATAAACAATATTTATATATTTAATTGGGAGCATAAGTACATACAGCATATTGTATGCATATATATCTCAATCAGAAGTACATTGCCTCATTACAGTAACAAAATACAAAAATACAATATATATAAATTACAGGAATATTATAACAGAACAATTGTCGTTTGATTTAAAGCCGTTTTGGTAGTTTACTAAATTCCTTATTGACCAGCAATCTGCAAGTAAATAGAACCAGATTATTAAAGTCTATCAAGATTGAGATATGGCTATTTTGCTCTCTACTTACAACAACTAGATGGCCGCTCTTATCACGCATAACGCCAGGCTCGGCTCCTGTCTGCAGCTCTATGACACCACCCTTGCCCTTAACCACATTGTGTTCCAGTCTAGAAGGGAATAAATAACGTTAATAAATAGAGTCTAGACTAAAAGATTTCTTTGCCACTTACGAAGCTCTGTCCACGATGGAGACAATATCGGCTGTGCCCACGGTGTCGATGATGTAGGTGCTAAACTCGATGATGTGTGGAATGATTAGAATCAGATCGCCTTTGTCCTTTTTCAGCTCCAGCGGTATCCGAATGACCATGAGGTCATCGTTGTGGTTCGTCAGCGTGAAGTCGATCTTCTCGAGGGGCAGGCGATGCTTCTGCTTGTAGCTCTTGCCATCCAGCACGTAGACAGCCTTGTTGCTCAGCAGTATAAAGCGCTCTCGAGACTTGTAGCCGTGTCTATCGAACTTCGTGCAGGCTGATTGATATTTAAGTTGCTCGCTACCGAAAGTGCTGGCCACGAAGTCATTCACACGCTGTATGTGCTCCTGGCTGATGCGATCGCTCTGGAACCAGGCTGGCACACTGCTGGCATAGTTGTTTTTCTTGCCCTTGAACACCTTCTCGGCCAGAACCTTCAGTTCGAACTGGCGCTTACGCTGCGGTGTCAACTTTTGGCGATAGATGCGCGCCAGGTGCAGACGATGCAGGCGATGCAGGTAGGTCGACGCTTCCTGGCAGTGGCCAGGCGCTGGGGGCCAGCTCTTGTCTAGCACCTTGGTGGGCAGCTCCTTGGCCAGACGCAGCAGCCACATTCGCTTGGCGTTGGCAATGAAGTCATCGTTGAAGCCATTGGGCGGATCGTTGCGCGTGATGAAGCCCTTGATGAAGGCTCGGATCTTATCCGCTGCCTCACGACGCTGCTTGGCGGCCTGCTGGGCCAGACGCCGGCGGCAGTAGCTCTGCAATATGATCACCTGGGCGCGCAGTTTCAAATACTTGCGACGCTGCACCAGACCCTTCCAATGGGCCTGAATGATGGCAGCGATGTCGTGCTTTTTCGCCTGGTAGGCGTCCTCCGTGTCGAAGAGTGTGCGTGGCCAGCGAATGAAGAGTTTCGTCTCGCCCATCTTGTACTGGTCACTAGTATAGCCCAGATCCTGGACGAGCAGCTGGACGCCACCCTTGGCGCCACCGGAACCCTTGTAGTTGGGCCACGTGGACTTGCTGAGGCACTTGTAGCGCTCCAGGAACAGCTCGTAGCTGCGCCTATAGGCGAAGCCAGCACGACGCACGCGCAGATTCTCCATCAAGCCCAGATACTTGACCTGATGCAACACCAGCTGATCATCGAAGATGCCCGGCGACTGCAAATCGTTGGGCTTGATGCAACGTATGTAGCTGGGCTCCTTGCACATCAATATGTCCATCAGATTGTTCAGCGAGGACTTGAACTGGGAGATGGCCGTGTCGGGTCGCTTCTTGCTGCTCAGCTCGGACTCTGGGAAGCAGGAGCGGACAATGTTGTTGCCCGACTTGCTCAGCGTTTCCTTGAGGTCGCGGAACAGCAAATCGTTGTTCTTGTCCAAGAAACCATTCACGCTGTAGGTCACCTCGCCGGCGTAGTGCACCAGGCGGAACTCGTCGCGTCCCATGACCTTTTGCACATGAATCGGTGCCTTCTCGTGGCACACGTAATGACGATGCTCCGCCAGCTTCTGGGTGAGCTTGTCGAGGAAGGTGCGATCGGTAGGCTCTCCCGGCCGCAGGCACTCCTCATCCAGTATGGAAATAATACCCTTATGCTTCTCCTCAATCAGGTTGCAAATGACCTTGTTGTCGAAATACTCCACTGGTATCCACTCGATGCCCTCCCTCCTGTACTCATCCTGCTCAGACTTGAGAGTCAACTCAATGAATAGCTGCTGCAGCTTCTCATTGCAGAAGTTGATGCAGAACTGCTCAAAGTTGTTCGTCTTGAAGATCTCAAAGCCATAGATATCCAAAATGCCCATCACATTATTGCGAGCTCCGCGCGTTTCCTTCGCCTGCAGCGAAATGTTGAGGCGCTGCACCAGCCAGGAGAAGAGGCGATCGTAGACGGCTTTAGCCAACGCATCTCTGGCATAGATGGCCAGCTCCTGATTCAAAGGCGAGGTAACCACATCGCCCCGTGCATCGATGGTGCGATGAGTGAGGGCGGCGCCCAATTCGCTGGCATTGACGCCGAGCAGACGGGAGACAGTGACCACCAGATCTCGACTGTTCACCTGGGCATTGCCCTCCACCACGTTGAAGCCAATGTTGCCCAGGTGCAATATGCTCGCCACAATGGCAAAGATCTCACGCTGCTCATCCGCGCTGAAGTCAATCACGCTCAATGCCTGCTGCACCTGCTTGAAGTTGTCCACATCATCGATGCTCTTCACGCTGCCCTTGACCTGATGAGACAGAAACAATTAGAGGAAAGCTCTTTTAACTATGATTGCTTGCTAGCTTACGCCATCGGTCAGATAGTTGTAGCTCTCCAGCGTGCGCTGCAGGTGAAGCTCCTGCAGCAGTTTGGCATCTGCTCCCGCCAGCAGCTGATAGAAGATGTGAAAGTTACGCTCACCGGGCGTTTGTGCCACCACGCGCGACTTCTCCAGCAAATAGTTGAGAATGTTGCCGCCAATGGGCGTGCCTTTGTAGTCGAACTGAATGTCCATGTACTTGCCGAAGCGGGAGGAGTTGTCGTTGCGGTTCGTCTTGGCATTGCCAAAGGCCTCCAGCACTGGGTTGCTCTTTAGCAGCTTATCCTTGACGCCCTCCACGGTGCTCTGATGGCCAGAGCAGGCGGCAATGTACTGCAGCACCTTCTTGGAGGCCTCCGTCTTGCCGGAGCCACTCTCGCCCGAGATGAGCACGCACTGGCCGCGATTCTCCTCGATCAGTGAGCGGAAAGCGTTGTCCGTCACAGCGAAGCTAAAGATCGAATCAGCATTAAATCTGATAGTCTAGTCCTGGTTAGCATTTGCCACTTACATGTGCGGAGGCATCTCATAGAAGTGTTTGTTCCTGTACTCCTTGATGTGGGCTTCTGAGTAAATGGGCAGCTGCTTGTAGGGATTCACAGAGATCAGCACCTGGCCAATGTAGGTCTGTAAAGAAATACGAAATGTTTAGTAAATCGAAAATTCGTTAACTTTATGGACAACATTAACATTGAAAGTTCTTACACAGATCCAGCATCCGGTCTAAAAATTGAGTGCAATATTTTAGAGGATGCGTGGTAAGAGTTACGAAATAGAAATGCAGATAGAGACATTTACAGATTATAGAGAAATTATGTGAGAGAGATAAACAGAGAGAGAGAGAGAGAGAGAAGGAGCAAAAAATGGTAAAACTTACATAGATGAGGTTCTCTTGGAAGCGCTTCTTCAAATTATCAATGAATGCTACCTCGCTCTCATAGTTCTCGAGCAGCACAAAGTCCTGAACGCCCGCACGATCGCGTTCGTGCAAACCCGTCTCCATGTTGGGTAATGGTTTATTGCTGGAAGTTGAAAAAGTTAACATCAAGATTAGTTAAGATTATACCAAAATCTGAGATCGCTTAAGTGTTGTATGTAAATTTCGGGGAAACATTTTCAAGTGCCTTTTGTGTTAGGCACACGTAAAAAAACAAAAAACGGTTTCTAGCCAAGCGACTTGAGGTCTATTTAATCACCTAGGTTTTATTAGGGTGCGATTATAAAAGAACACAATCAATGGCTAATTGATAAGATTTCTTGTGTCAAGAATTTATAGCTCCACAGGCAATAAGGAAAACTAAGCTAGGACTATTTCACATAAATACTATATAGGAAAATTCAAAAGAAGGCTAGATATCTCAGATATTTTTAGATAAATTGTTCATGAAACCAAATATTTGGTGGAAAGCATTTATAGCCATATTTGTATTTATAGAGCTGAAGTAGACTAGGTGCAATTCGCATTCTCTTATCAATGTCATATATCATATCACTGGAAATGCCTGGGTTATTGGGTCTAGAGTTTATTTGGTCTTGCGGCTGCCAACGAATCTAAGAGCGTCGATTACGCAATGGCTCTATTTGCTCTCATTCTCGATTCCATTGTCGGATTATGTATACCTCCTATAAATATATATATATAGATATCAATTGAATTGGCGAAGGGTACATAGGTAGGTGCGGTTGCTCTTTGACGGAAATTATTAAGCGATTGGCCCGATATTGATGGCATGATGTAAGCACTTTAAATTCGCAAATTGACACGGTGATGAGCTGCACTTGGAGTGGGTTCGTAGACAGATAAACACGAACACACGACAACAGCGCCAATTATTGGCCTAGATAAGTCGCAATCGTTGTACCTGGCCATTGTATTGGGTTGTTCTGTATCCTTATGAACTGATTAGACACTCTTTACTCTCAGCACTCAGCACATATTCCGCACATCAACGAGCGCGCTGGCAAACTAACACAATCCGCCGTTGGCAATAGCGTTTTAACCATCAATATTCAATTGCCATCGTCGTCGGCGCCGTCGGAGCAGCTTGTTCGCCAGTTATCAACGATTTAGCTACACGGAGAGCACTTCCCAAGAGCCGCAATGGCCCAATCAGCCGCGATTAGATAGTGCGTTTGCCTTTCGCCAGCTCTTTCTGAGCAATTCACAAAAATGTCGCCAGAGCCTAGTATACATATATATATAGAAAATCTGTGAAGAATTGACAGTGAAGATGAGTCAGTATATGACACAATGGTGAGTGCAAAACAAACTCAGCTGCTGCTGATAAAATATGCTAAAAATCATCGTAGTGTTAACTGTGAAAATCTCACTTTGTAAACACAGCATGAGACACAATGATAAGATTTAATCAAAATGATTAAAGACAATAGCTTTTAATTCTTAGTGATCGATGAACAGAGTGCACTCAGAGCATAGAGAAGATCTGTTCAGAGTAAGTAAGGAAGACACAAAGTTTCTAATCGAAATCAAATGCTGACGATTTATATTTCAACAGATAAGAAACACTGCGATCACTTCACTGCGATCGTAACGATCTCCAGTAGAGTTAGAATCAGACAGACGAGTTCTAATCAGAAATAAGATCAGATTTAAACAGATTTTGGCACTCCGATTTCTTTACTATGTAGAAGTTACTGGGATCGTAGACGATCTACAGTAGATTGAGAATCAGTTGTAGAGAAGAATACATGTATCGATTGGCTTGATCGGCGCTCTTTATAGAGTTAGGCATTAGAATCGCGAGCCAATGACTCAGAGTAAAACACACTTCTAATCAAAGCAAACACAATAGCTGACAAAATATTTAAATACGGAGCGATCACCGCGTACGCCTCGGGGTGATCACGTTGCAAGTGCCTCGCAAACACTGGAAAATTGTATTGCAAGTGTCTGAGCTGCATACTGAGTAATTAGTTCGATTGCCGTAGGCGCCATCAGTGGAGCTGTGGGCGACATTTGGTCCATTTAACGCTCTTATCAGTTATTGAGTGCACAGTTTGTACTACATTCGATTCGTTCAATGCTACCTTTGTTTCGCTGGAGCTATTTGCACTTGCCAGCTCCAGGCAAATGCATGTTTAGCTAATTACACAATGGGTTTGATATGTGCACATAAGTATATACAAATTTATATATATATGTGTGTACATGTTTCATAGCCATATCCAAGCACAACTGAAGCAATAATATTTGATATATTTGTCACATATTTGGTTATGTGCACGTTATTGGCTGAATTCTGTGATATGCTAGTAGTTCAGGCATGATAAAGAGCATATAGACTTGTAGAGTAACTCAAGCATATGCAATTTTACAAACTGAGCCAAATCGAATCGCAATCCGACTCGTTCAGTTTGTTGTTAATTTATGACTCTTCGGAAAGATATAGTTCTTGCAAGTCATGTGACTTTCATTCCAATATTGTTTAGAAAAAACTTTACTCGGAGCCTAACGACACCTTCAAATAGTTGGTTTTCTTATCTGCTCAAGCTTACTCTCCTGATTTCTCTGGCAATCCCCCATCTACTTGTAGCTCTTATCAATTTCCATTTGTGTGAAATTATATTACTGCCTAAAGTTATGCCTCACTTTTGCTTTAATAATATTCTTGATGTCAACGACACTTGGTTGGGTAGTCTCTTCTATATACTATAATTTTGGTACCGGCTTTCTGTACACCCAAAACTCCTTACACAAATCATGTTGACGAAAGAGTTATGAACTGGTTTGTGAGCCATTAATCTGATATTGACCCCAGTGGGAAAACTCGCCAGCGGGCACGAGGGTCAATTATAAACTGGCTATAAAACTAAAACAAGCAAAACTGCTCTAGCCGGGCATGACCGACAAGCTAGATACCCTACCTCATAGCTTTGGTATCTTAACTATCAACATAAAAAAGTCAACGACTCTAGTATAAAATGTTCCCTTTTGTAATTTACTTGATTAATGACAGACAGATAGTCTAGACTCCTGTTAAACGTAAGTCTTCTGTTGCCTTAAAAAATCTCCTACCCTTTACACGCATTTACAATGGGCTTAAGGTACCACACAAAATAAAACTCAACTCTGCAGAGGGTCCAGAACAAGCGAGACTCAAAAAATGACGTAATTTGTATACCGAACGGGCTATTGAACTCCGCTGAACTATACGAGGGCAGCGTCTGATCGCTCAGTGGCGATCATTTGAGTGCATTCAGTTTTAGGTTTGACAGAAGACACACAAATTCTTAATTCATATGCAAATTAGAGTGTGATCTTATTGGCCACATCAACTAGAGAATGGCCCAGATCAGGTAACTAAGAATAGCAGAGAACAGAGAGAAAGCAAATGGTGGGCAGCTTAAATTGGGGTCTCTGACTTGATTTGGGAAATAGATGCGTCAAATATTCTAATGAGAAAACCGTTAGCATCCATAAAAGATGCACTTTGCAGCTGCTCGGACTGGGTATATAAAGGTGCAGCCGTTGCATCCAATCATATTCCCTGAATGATCATGGAACGGAGAGCATCATCAATACTTTGGATAGGTGACTATCAGGAACTATTGGCAGGTTGATCTCGACTAATATTTTCTTCTATTTGCAGTGCTTTTCTCGTTGCTGGGCAGCGCATTCACCTTCCAGGAGAAGTCGCCCCAAGTGCAGCCGCATGTGAAGCAACCGCAGCAGGTACTCAGTGGCAGTGGCAATGTGGAGAACTCCGTCGGGACGAATCGCAACATCGATGAGCAACAATTAACATCCACCGGTAAGGCTGGCTTTGGCAACCACTTTATAGGCACCAGCTCGAAGACTACAGCCAAACCGACAGTACATCATAAACACAATTACTATTATACTTCAGAGGACAACCAGTATCCTCGCCAGTACGGTCAACAAGCTTATCCCTGGGCCGGTTATCATACTCATCGCCCTCAGCAGCGCCCCTGGGTGCCGCCATATAGTCAATGGCCCTACGGCTATCCCTATGGTTATCCTGGCACTCCCGGCGTTCCTGGCACTCACGGCGTTCCTGGCACTCACGGCGTTCCTGGCTATCCTAACATTCCCGGCTATCCTGGTCTACCTGCTTCTGGTTATCCTGGCTATGCCGGCTATTCCGGTTATCCCAGCGGCCCACGTTATGCTGGCTATCCGGTTTATCCCGGCTATCCCGCGTATTCCGGCTATCCCAGCTATCCCGGCTACCCTATCTATCCTGGTTACCCTGGTTATCCTTGGTTTCGCAACTCTGAAAACGAAGAGGTCGACGAATCCCAAATCCAGCAAGAAGTCGCCCAGCGGTCCGTTCCCGACACTTACCAGGCACGCGTCTTGGCCTCCACGACCAAGTTAAATAGCAATGTCTTGCCTCTCTACCAGCTGCTGAATCTTGCTCGCGTTTAACCTTTGACTATGAATTGAAACGTACTCACTAAATAAAAGAACATTTTCGAATTATTCAAACCGAGTTTTTGCTTAACAATCTTTCAGTAATTGAAGATCCCAAGATCAACAGAAATGTGAGAGCAAGCAAATTCACAAAAAAAGAAGAAGCAAAACAAACTTCGAGTGTTACAATCTCGAAAAATAAGTATGATAACATAACATATCCAGCCGGTACTGTGTGACTTATGCCAGCGGCAAATCGCGTCAATGGCCCCCACTTGGCGACCGTCGAATCGCTTCGCTCTTAATGATCGTTAACTCCTCAAATGTTGAGTAAAAAAGCCGCCTGAAGCGCCTTCGTTCGATTCGATGAATATATGAAAACGAAAAGCAAACAAAAAACTTGGGATACAATCTCGAAATGCTGACTCATAGCATTGTCCACTGACGCACAGTAACCTTTTGGATCAGCGGCGACAACAACAACAATTGATTCAAACACATTTTGCAAGCGATTTGGTGACTGATGTTGAACGCAATTTCAAATGCAAAAAAGCTGTTTAAGAAATATAACGAACAACTTCGCATTTACCTCTTTTTTTAATAGCCCACAAAAAACTGAAGAAAGAAACCAGACTTTTTTGTTCGAGTCTACACGAATTGCAGTACTTGTTGGCTTCTTCTTCTTTTTCTGTTACTTCCACGGAAAAAAGCCTTAGTTGACACTTTGCTTGAACCGATTCGGTAATCTTAAACACGTTCTCTTTCGACTGATCGCCGTTTCGACAATGGAGCGCAAGTTCTTCAGTTTAAGGTGCCGAAAAAAAAAATATAATATATGGTTGGGGAAAAGCTTTACAGCTGTGCTGTGCTGTTCGTGGTATAAATTGACTGGCCAATGAAATTTAATGATAGCTGTCATGGTTTTTTTCCTCCGAACAACTAACTGAACTAAAGCTCTATAAATTTATTTAATATATGATAAGTTGATTTTCAAATATTTTACACTATTTTCATTTAGATATATTGTCATATGAAGTAATCTTATTATCTCAACTACAAATCTCACTCTCAGTTTTCATTAAGCCATCAAACAGATAAGCTGAGGAGCGTAGCACGACACGTTTCTATTGCAAATATGTTTTATTTATGTTTAGAGGGTATAGCATATGTCGCGCTGACCTCGATCACGAACACGTTCGTTTCGTATCTGGCTGGCAGAGCTTAGGGGCTGACTCATTATGTGGACACACAGGCCACATGCAATATCTTATCGGATGTGTTTGCTCGGTGCGAATAAAAGGAAACTCGAGCCCATAAAATGCAATTTCTCAAGTGTTTGGATTAAGCAAAGAATGGCAGAATGGCAGAGTTCTGCAAAAAGCATACTCAGTTGCTATTGAAGAACCAGCTTGGAGTATTGAATGAAATATTTCAAGTACATTCGCTGTGTATAAAAATTTATAAATTGAAGTTACATTTATAAATTAAATGGAAAAATATTACGATTTAACAGTGTGGCAAAGAGCTAATTTAAAGGGAATGTGAAGGGAATGAGTCGTTTCTTTATGAGAAAAAGAACTTTTACTAGATAATATAGTGCTGGCAGTGCCCTCTGTTTATCTAAATGAAAGATCATCAAATGCTCAATTCCTAATTTCTCTTAACAATTTATCAATCACCCTGTGCAATACTAAGACACCCTGTATAAGCCAAGAGGTACTTCCACGTTATCAATAAACTTTCTAGTCAATAGATAACGTTGCGTTGCTCCGATAAATAAACGCTTAACTTACTTTTTGGTCATAAAACAACATTTTTTTGGCAATTTGAAGGCAAATCAACATCTGATAAATCAAAGAAGTCAACCTGCCATACCCACACGCCCGCACACGTAGATGAGTGAGTGGTGCACATGACAAAGCTCGTTAATTGTTAACGTCTCTTGGCGGCATTATCGCAATTAACCAAACTAAAATGCGTGCAATTCGTTTTGTTTATTTCCCTTCTTTTAGAGTCTTTGTTGGTTTCTTAGGCTTTTCTTATTTGATTTAGACCTCGCTCATTGTTCAGATTGCTATGCAAGAGAATTACATCATTTCCATTAGAAGAACTGGCCAAAAACTTGGTTTGGCTTCTGTCTGTTTCGCTGTCTGACATTGAACGTAACGCTCCATGGCGCCACAAGGGAGTCTATTATATACACAACTGTATTTGGCAAAAAAGAAAAAAACAAAAATAAAAAACACACAACAAAGAGAGGGGGAAATACGCAGCTAACTAGACGATCGCTGTTAAGTGAAGCTAAGCTGCTTAACGTCTGATTGCCACAAGACACAATTAAAAAAGCTGAAATCGAAAATGGGTCAAATCAATAGACGCCATTGAAATTGAAATTGAACTGAAATCTGATACAATTTCATTTATAGAGCATTGATAAGAAGGCGGAGAAGAGGGTGGGGCACAAGCACAGGCGTAATAACATTTAGATGCATGTCGGACTTAAGGAAAAAAAAACTGTGGGTTTGGTGTCGATTTATCTGGAAATACATGACTTGCTCCATATTATATATGTACGTACACTCATATACATACATGTTGATGTATACCACAGTTGACCTGCCTTGTTTGTATTTGTTCCTGCTGTAAAAACTAAGCAAACAATATTCAGCTAAGCCCAGATGCAAGAGCAGAGGAGCAACAGGAAAGACAAGCAGGCAGAGCGAAAGAGAAGATGAGTACGTGCGTGCGCGCGTGTGTGTGTTTGTGTGGGCTAAAGGAAGTGTCCAGGAAGCGAAACACTCGCCTAAAAGGCAAACGGTAAATTGCTTGCGCCTGCGAGGTTAAGCTGATGAAGCAACCACCAACGAGCACATCGAGAAGAGCTGCCTGCAGCAGCACATGGTCGTAAATGGCGCTTTATTAGACGCATATAAACATAAACCAGATTTGTGCCTCTTGTCGCTGGTGTCCAAGTTCAAATTGTGCAAAAGGAAAGAAAGTCTTGCTGCCAGCAAGATAGACTGAAACACAGATCGCGACCTGGGCAAACCGGCAGAACCGCTTTTTGACTCGATCAATTTTTTTCTTTCATTAGTTTTTTTGTTTTTGTCTGTGTGTTTGGTGTCGTCTTCACAGCTTGCAGCACATTTGTTACATTGTGGATAGGAAAACGACAGTTGAGTATGCAAAAACTGCAGAGCTGATTAGCTGGATGCGGCTCTCAATCATTGAATGGGGCCCGCACATCCGTAATGGCCAATTAACAGCGACAGACGTTGACGATAAGAAGTTGGCCACTCAATAAATAAATGTAGGCACGTTCAATAAATGAAAGCAAGTACATAATTTCACTCACTGTCTGGTGCAGTTGTTGCTTGAATTTCTTTTTCGATCGGTTACCGTTAGCTTGACCCGCTGCTGTCAGCAACACCAGTAGCCGCGGCAGCAGAAGCAGCAGCGACTGCGCAACGTTCCAACAAAATTATAAAACAATCGAATAGACACTTGTTGCTTCTATGGCCGCGACACTTGTTATATCTGTTTGTTTAGCTTTGGCACGCGTTCAGAATTTCAAATGAAATACAGCCGAATAACGTTCTTGAATAATTAATATCTTATTAGCAGCAAAGCCCCGAGTACGGCAAGCGCACCTTGCAAAAGTTAAAACCTAACTGAGCTGCGGCTGTCCATTTGCCGCCACATTTCGCATAGCCAATAACAACAACTGCTTTGAGCACTAGTGATGTGCGTATTTTGAAAAGCTTATCGCTTATCGATTTTCTGGCAATTTTATTGTAGGCGACAACTCCGACTATCGAAGTGATCAGAGCAAGGAGCTCCAGTGATATAGCAACCTTCACCAATCACCATAAAGCGCGTTCAATTTAAATATGATTAAAAAAAAAAAAATAAATAAATAAAAATTATGTGGGGCACTTTATTTACTTATCTTAATTCTCCAGATTTGTTTATTTATAACAATATGCTAAAATCGCTCTATAAATTTAAACAACACAATAATATTCCAGATGATCATATCTCTGAAAAAGAAGGGGTTAAATATTGGTTTGCTATTCTTTTTTGTTTTACTTATAATCCAAGGAAAATGCAATAGACAATTCGAAAAAATATTTGCACTCAATGACGCTATGATAAAATGATTAGATCAGACTAAACCCCTGAGTTTGTTGTATAGCTTGTTGCAGCTTATACTTGAGCCGTTCCTTGGTCTTATATCGTGGCAGATCCAGCAAGTTGAAACATGTGTGTGCAACGGGCAGGAAGCGTTCATCAGGTGTGGGTTGCATGGCGATCTAGCCGATAAGGTTACCATAAATACCATACATCAATTATAAGGAATTATTAATGGATATAGTCAGTTTACCTTGATGGCTTTCATGCCCTGTATAGGAATACGATCACTGCCTGTCAAGTAAAGCAGAAACTTTTTCTTTTCTTCCTCGGGCAGTTCGTGAAATACTTCCCAAAACAACTTTACCTAAAAACAAGCAAATTGTCTTAACTACACGATATTTTCTTAGGCCAACGAATTACCGTTTCATCGCCGGACGTATAGCCCTCCTTGTACTCGCAGTTGTCTTCCAGAGCTTGCCAATCATATTCTTCGTTTCCCACTACAACAGCCATCAGTTCTTCAGGTTGAAAGATTTGGAGCACTCGGCCTGAACAGACTTTCATAAAACCCTCGTGAAATGCACGATAGTGAAGCTCCACGGATTTGTTGAATATGAAGTCAACATAGAGATTTACAAACTCTTGCCTGAAAAACTCAAATGATTAGCAATAGAAAAGCAATAAATGGAATGCAATAAAACCTGTTTTCCAGTGTGACAGCTATATTTTTTCCATTGGGTTTGAGCTCCTGAGTCTCGGCTTCGCCATAGATATCACGTGATATTTCAAATGTCAAATCGAAGGTTTCCTTAAAGTCATCGCCTGTATAGTCCAGCAGCGCCTGCAGGGAATTGGCTTCCGTTGGTGACATTTCACGCAGATCGCTAAGATCAACAGGTTTCTTTAACAGTTTCTTATATAGCGCCAAAGGGAAAGGCAGATTGATTATTGTAAAATTGTAAATGGCCAGGCCACATAGAACACCGATAAGGAAATACATATTCTCCGTCTCAAAGGTTACATCTGCGAACCACATGACGCGTGAGTCCTCAAACTCTTTGAACATTCCATATTTAGGATCGATCAGATCCTTGAGCAACAACATAAAAAACTCCTTCCGCACACCTCCCGCATCTTCGGCCTCCTCGCCATGGAATTTGATTTTCAGTGGCTTCTTGAGGTCACTTTGGCTATATCGCTGTAGTTCACGTATAGAGTCCTGCACCAAGTTTTCTCGCGTCACATTCAAAACAATGTACTGTGAGATGTGACCGTAGTTTAGTAGATTGTAAAATGCCTGAAAGAGATGGTCGAGCGTCATTAAAATGATTATATGATTGGCTGCTAGCCACCCACATTAGATATTGCGTTCGACATGGCTGATTGCATTTGGAGCGCTTGATCTGCTTGCAGCAGCGAGGTTTTAGCGGATGCGTCGAACAGGAATGGATAGTTGCAAATATTAAACTCTGTTGCCGACTCAGCCGCAATCCAACGAAAATATTCTTGCTGCACGTCCACATAATCCGTAATCTCTGGCCAGTAGAACAGGCGGAAGTTCAGTCGCGCGTCCCGACTGTCGTTCACACGACAAAGTTTTGTCAAAAATTGCAGGACAGCCTCCAAATCACTATTGTAGGGCAACAGCTAAGATACGTATTTACGTTGATTAGTAAGTAGATAAAAATGATTGGCCATTAGTTGAGTACGATTACCTTCTTCTGGCGCGGCTCATTGTGATTAATGACCTCGATGCCCATTTTAAAGCTGATGATGTGCATCGCCACGTGCAAAAAGTTATTGACCATTTGCTCAAAGTATTCAGACGGCGTCTGAGCCCACCATTTCTCTAACACCTTGCGAGGATTCTCAGTAAGTTTGAATATGGCTTGGGCGAATGGTACGTGCAGTGTTTTGTAGTGTTTGGAATTCACAAATTCGTGATACAGTGGCAGTAACAAATAAACACGCATGCTCTCAACGTCTGCCGGCGAGGCGACCAGCGAGCCAAGAAGCTCCTTCGACAGGTTATCCCAGATCTAAAATGACGTCAGATTATCTACCGGTGCGTTAATGACCATTCTATAATGCTTGCACATACCACCTGTTTGATGCTTTGATTCTCCACTTGGCGTAGATTATCAAAGGCCGCCTGGGCAGCCAATAAATCTATGCCATAATTGCGAACGGAGCAACCTAAATGCTTGTCTTGGTCTAGCAGAAAGGAACCATTAAGGCAGGCTTGGCTCTTAAATATAACCTCAATGGAGTTTAACAAATCCAAATCGCTTTGATCGTCTTTCTTAATGCTTGCGCATTGTTTGGTGGCATCTGCAGTCAGCACAAGAATCTGTGACTTGGGGCTATAAGAATAGAGTCGTGTTATTCGAATGCGTGGCATAGAAATGAAAAATTATTACGAATAAACGCGACAGTCGACGGGTGGAATTTTGTCCGCAAACATCGAGGTGGTCACTATTGACTGATCCCCGCCAGAGAAGATTTGATGAATAACAGACGCAATGTTCGCATCGGTGGACTGCAACAGAGTTGAACCACTGGGCGACACCCAAGGCCCTATGACCAACTGGGGCAGATTTAGGCTTTTGGTGTTACGCGTGCCTAGCTGCCCGGAGCTGCCCAAACCGAATCCATAAATTCGGCCTCGCGAAGGCACCAGCGCCAAGGTGTGTCGATTGCCACAGGCCACCTGAGAAATAGTGCTGCCCATCAGTTCCATGACCATGCGAGGTAACATCTCATTAGAGCTAAAACCGTGGCCCAATTGTCCATAGGCCCCAGCGCCACAGGTGAATACGCCGCCTTCAATTGTGAGAAACACAGAAAACTCATCTCCACAGGCGACAAAGCGAACTCCTAGTGTCCTCAGAGTTTTCAGCTGTGTGGGATACGCACGATTCATCTCGTCGTTCAGGCCCAGTTGTCCACAGTTGTTGCGGCCCCAACCAAACACTGCACTCGACTTGGATATAAGAAAAGAATGATTACCGCCGCAGGCAATGGCTGACACGGGAATGCCCAGCAAGGTGGTGAGTCGCATGGGAGTGTTGCAGTGTTGGAGGTCATTAGGTAAACTGACACCCAGCTGACCATAGAGATTGGATCCCCATGAATACAGCTCACCACCTGCAATGACAAATGGACCGATAGAGCAGAATCTCTTGAAGTGAAATTTACTTACAGCAAGTTAGAGCCAGGCTGTGATTGCTGCCGCAGGCTATTTGGACGACCGTTTTGGAGACCAAATTTCGTACTATTTTAGGCAGTTTTACAATATCTTGATCGCTGGCATGGCCCAGTTGGCCACACTCATTATCGCCCCAACTGAAGACCTGGCCCCATTCGGAGAGCGCCATCGAATGGCGGCTACCACAGGCAATTTGCGTAATCACATAATCCTGCAGCTCCGGTATCTGTACTGCAAGTAAACGGCCGTAAGAGCAATAAATGGCAACAGGCAATCAAGCTAACACAGAGAGCGACATGTGGAAGTTGTGATGGGAATGAGGTGTGACAAGTGTACCAACGAGAATGGAAGATTTGTACATACGAAATTGCGACATACGTGGCCTTTTGGTGGGTAGCTCATGTCCCAGTTGTGAGTAATCATTGCTACCGCATGCATACACCTTCCCGCTGGCAGTCAGAAAAAGTGTGTGCCGATGCCCACAAGCGATTTGATTCACTGCCGAGTCCGGCTTCCAGGGCATTCGGCTGGGCGTCAATATCTACCGAGTAAACGCAATGGCAAATTAAAGTGGGCGTGCATGTCCGTGTATTATGTACCCATATTACCTGTTCCTCTTCGATACCGCCAAGGCCCAACTGGCCGTGCGACGCGTTACCCCAGCAATACAATTCCATTCTGTCGATCTCTTGCCCCACTTTACACTTGTGGCTTTCGTTGTGTTGTTGTTGTGGATGGCAAATCGTTTAAATAGGCACGGCTTTCGCTTCCTTCTTTGTGTTCGCTGTTTCCAAGTGCGCTACCGTGCCAAAGAATATTCGAGAAAGCTCCAGGGTAGTGGAAACATTCTCTGCGACCGTCCAATTTTATCTATTTTCTTGGCTTTGCTCTTGCTCCACACGCACACTCACGCTTTTGTTGAAGCGAAATCGGGGACTCTTATAATTGGGCCTCGGGGACCCAGAATTGTAGATTAAAATGCAGCGTGATATTTTTAAAATAGCGCATTGAGTATGCTTGTAACCGGAATTAGGCTAAAAATTTCGACAGATAATTCTGTTCTATAATAAAATAACAAAATATAACAAATGAAAACCGCAACAACAACAACAAAAGAAACCAATAAATAAAGACGACCCTGCCAACCTAATGGAAAGCTTTAAGCACACTCATGCAATATATAAACGTAATGTTATCGATGAAAAACGTAAGCCTAATTTACTACATGTCGAAAGAATTTTAATGAAGTGAAATGTAGGTTTTGCCTTACAGCACTGACCACTGTTGTTTGGTCATTGGTTATAGTTACACATTGTGGTAGCTCAGATTGAATATAATTATATTTTCGTTATGTCGAGTTCCATACATGTGCAATGCTCGTGAGTGCACCACTATCACACGTATGCAAATATTTCTACACTAATCGGTGAGTGGACATGCCTATTTTCCATAATAGCGAATTATACCGGTAACTGAGTATAATGTCTGAACTCTGACCTTTTTGCGCAATTTGACTTGGAATAAAAGCGTAACGCGAAGTTCAGGCTTTAACTCGGTGTCTATAATACTAGATAAAGCGCGCAATCGAAAATTCAAAACTTCGTAACGGCTGTTTTTGGGCGATCAAAACCAAAAACCGGTTGCATTAAATTGGTCTGCTTAGAGATTCAAGTTAGAAGTGAGAAAGTGAAAACTCATTGATTTTCATCTAGTTGTGGCCACGCTAACAGACAATGCAGGAAGCGTATGTGAATATCAATAACATACCCACGCACATCATAACGTGGGGAAAGTGGATTGAGGAGTCATTAAATGATGTCCAGGAGCTTGTTGTTTGCATAACGGGCAATCCTGGATTGCCTGGTTTCTACACAGAGTTCGGTGGTGCTCTGCAGCAGGAGCTGGGCTCTGATGGACACAATTTGCCAGTCTGGGTGATAGGTGAGACGGGCGGGTGTCCATTATCTGCGAATGTACTTGCTAAAGATAACTTATTGACATACTGATCGACATGTAGGTCACGCTGGACATGATGATCCGCCAGAGGCAAGCATTCGTGAGGTTCCTCAACTTAGTGGAAATGCCGAGCTCTTTAATCTCAAAGGTCAAATCGATCACAAGATAGACTTTATAAAGAAGTATGTGCCTCGGCATGTGAAAATACATCTGATTGGACATTCGATTGGCGCCTGGATGATATTGCAGTTGCTCAAGGAACCAGAGATACGGGAGCGAATAAAAAAGTGCTACATGCTATTCCCCACTGTAGAACGCATGATGGAGTCTCCCAATGGCTGGGTATTCACCAAAGTGGCTATGCCCCTATATTCGGTCTTTGGTTACGTTTTCTTCAATGCATTCAACTGGCTGCCTGCTTGGATACGCATCTTTTTGATCCAAATCTACTTTTGGATCTTTGCTATACCCAATCATTTCCTTGGAACTGCGTTGAAATACACCAAGCCGTCAGTGGCAGAGAAAGTTGTGTTCCTGGCCGACGACGAAATGGCTCGGGTCAGTGTCCTGCAACGGGATCTAATAGAAGAGAATTTGCATCTACTAAAGTTCTATTACGGCTCCACCGACGGCTGGGTGCCGATCGACTATTACTATCAACTCAAAATGACCTTTCCCAAAGTGGACGCACAGCTGGATAATAAGAATATCGCCCATGCATTCGTTCTACGACATTCCAAGCCCATGGCATCCATAGTCAGCAATATGATCAAACAGAACCTACAGTAGAGCTCACTTCTAGGTGAGATAGCCTAGCCAATTGTTGCCTAATCTTAATATTATATGCGAATATCGGTACTCTAACTTTTTTTGTGTAGTGGTAATAGGTACAACTTGATATATAAAGCATGATATGATATATATCCATGACGCAATAAAGACAAGGTTTTATACAAGTAAAGGAGAGATCCTCTTTAGTTGTAACACACTCTTTATTTTGCATCCTAGTTACACTCAAGTATTGTGATTAAGATAAGAGGTTTGATGAATTGCATATGTATTTTACAATCAATTTTTGTTTGGCGATCAGGAATGCGATCAGGAGCGGCTGCGCGATGGGGAACGAGAACCGCTACCCTCACGAGAACGAGAGCGCGACTTTGACTTCGAATGGGAGTGAGAGCGAGAGCGCGAGCGAGAACGTGATTTCGATTGAGACTTGGATTTTGATCGACTACCAGAGCGGGAACGTGAACGGTTTGCGGACTTTGAGCGTGAACGAGACCCAGATTTTGAGTGTGAGCGCGAGCGCGAGCGTGATCGTGAACGTGAACGTGAACGTGACCCCGACCCTGAACGTGAGCGCGAACGGGAACGTGATCCTGATTTATCCGATTCGTCGCCAGATTCAATACGATTCTTGGCCCGCTTACGTTTTGCGACACCATCGCTCTCGCTGCCACTGCGACTCCTGCTGCGCTTCCGTCCGCGATCGCTACCACTAGCGCTGCCGGAGCGGCTGCCACTGCGACTGCGGGAGCCGCTCTTACGGCTTCTACTGCGGCTGCGATCGCTACCACTGCCACTGCCGCTGCCCGAGCGACTGCCCGACTTGCTCCGGCTACGGTTTCTGCTCCTGCTGCGACTGCGGCTTCGCTTGCCGCCATCGCTCTCGGACTCGCTGGTCGATATGGTCTCCTTGGAGACAATCTTGAGACGCTGTTTGGCGGACAGTTTCTCCTTGACATCCTTGGCGTTCTTCTGCTGCAGCTTCTTCTTCTTCTGTTTTTTCTCTCCACGGCCGCCGCCACCACCAGCAGACTCTTCTTCGCTCTCGCTCTCGTACTTTTCAGTTTTCCGTTTGCGTCCGCTGCCCTTCTTGCGTTCAGCCTTGCCCTTTTTCTTGTTCGGCCGTTCAACGCCTTCGCGTTGCACATCTCCACTATCCGTGCCCGAGATGTAATCATCCTTGCGCGGTCGTCCGCTGCCCTTCTTGCGCTCCTTTTCGGTAGGTGCGTCGGCAATGATGAGCAAATTCTTGGTTTTTTCCACGTACTCCTGTCGTTTGGCCAGCAGCTGTTCGCGTGACATTTTGGCTTCCTCTTCGCGTCGCTTGCGCTGCTCCAGCATCTTTTGCTTGAAGGCTTCCCGTTCCTCTTCTTGGCGGCGTCGCAGTGTGCGATCCTCTTCATCAATGCGACGCGCACGTCCCACATGATATTGCGCCTGAGACAGCAGATCTTGACATGTGTTGGCCTCCACGCCAGCAACCTCGATGTTGAAGCGAGTCTTGTCGCCATGCACGGACAAGTATTGGAAGTATCTAAGTGGGAATAGATATTAAATTTATAAAGCACGTTTGAGTTTATAATTATTTACTTGTGCGCCAGCTCCAGTTCATGCACCGCTTGAAGCACCACCTCCAGCGTGGACTTCTCATCCTTGAGTATGGCCATGGCTAGTCGGGATAGCACTACAGCTATGTTGAACAGCAGCACAGTGTCCTGGGGAGCCACACGACGAGCCTTCAGTAGTACAGCCTTGGCCTCCACCAGCTTATTGGCACGCAGATAGGCGCGTGCGAGGTACTGCATCACCTCGACATTGTTGTGCTTGAAGAACTTCTTCATACAGTTCTCGTACATCTGTATGGCGCTAATATATTGCTTCTGCTCGACGTAGATATGGGCTATGTTTAGCCACACATCACAGAAATCGGCGGTGGCTTCGCGCACCTGTGCAAAGATGTCGCGCGCTTCGATGACGCAGCCCTTGTGGGCGAGCACGGCGCCAATGCCATTAGTGGCCCAAATATTGCGAGGATCCGTACGCAATACCTATTCCAAAAGTTTCCACATTAAAGTATAACCAACTTGACTTTTCATCACCAACTTTACCTGCTTGAATATAGCGAGCGCCTTTTCCTGATGCTTGCGCTCCTTCTCCTTGTCGCGACTGGGCTGATGCAGGGTCTGCAGCGAGAAGTTTCCAAGAGCAATTAGGGAGTAGGCATCTGAAGCCGTTGCCGGATTCTTGAGTATGGTCTCGAAATTCTTTTGACCCAATGCGAATTGCATTTTGGCCAAGTGCAAATTGCCGAGAAGCGATCTTGCATCTGGATTGTCATTGTTGATATTGAGTGCATCTTTGAAGAAATCCGATGCGACAAAGATCAGGCCCTTATCACGCGCCATGCAGCCCAGCCGCAGATAGCAATCAATGTAGTTGGGATGCTCCTTGAGTATCTCCTTGTACAGCTTGTCGGCCACATCGAAACTGCTCATCGCCTCGTTCAAGCGGGCCAAATTATACTTCATGGTCACCTGTATGGACTCGTAGTACTTGACGTCCTTCTCCATCTCGGAGCTGGCATGTTTCAGCGCTGACTCGAGCGTGTCCTTGGCCAATTTCAGATTGCCCAGACGATAGTGCAGTGAGGCTACATTATTCTGTATCTCTGCCGGGATCTCATATTTGGCTTTGTCACGCAAAATGCTCGAGGCAGTGCCGTAAGCATTTAGCGATGCCTGCAAATCATTTTGCTCCAATATCTGCGCCAGCTCTATCCAGGCTTCAATGTCCTCCGGAAACTGTTCAGTCACCTTTTTTAGGTGGGTTTTGGCCATGTCACGCTTGGTCTGCGAGTTGGAGTGCGCATACAACGAGCCGAGAATTTTCATGGTCTCGTAGTTCCCTGGCTGAATCTTTAGCACTTTCTCAAAACATTGCGCTGCCTGTAAAATAGATTTATAGGAATTGGTATACGGATTTCAAAAGAATTATGGTGGAATTTACGTTCTCGGTGTCCCCGCGATAAATGTACATCTGACCGAGTCCGTAGTGTGGAAGCACAAAGTTAGCCGGCGCAATCTGCGTGGACTGATAGTAGTATTGGAACGCCTGGTCATAGTCGCTTTGGGCGTGAAAACTCCTGGCTAGCTGGTAACAGCTCTCGGCACGCATTGCTTCATTTTCGGTATTGTGAAAGGCGTGCAGAGCCAAATGATGAACCTTTTGGTAGTCCTTCTTGAAAAAGAAATGGTTGGCCAAATGATTCAACACCATCGGATTGGCATTGTCGATGGTGTACGCCTTAGAGAGCATTTGCACGCCCAGCTTATTGGACTCCGGCTCCAGTTGATTGAGCTTCAGCACAGCCAGGCCAATTAGAGCACCCACGCATTGCTGATCCAGTTGCAGAGCACGCTCAAAGGCCAACTTGGCCTTTTCAGCATTGCCCATTTTCAGGAAGCAGTGCGCCATACCGATCCGCACGTTGGCCGGACAGTTGGGGTTCGTGCGCAGCGCCTTCTTGTAGAACGCCATAGCACCTCGATAGTCCTTGCGATTGAATGCAATGCACGCTTTGCCTAGCAGCGATGGTATATTTGATGGCGATTGATTGAGCACGAAGTTGAATTGCGCATCTGCCTGATCCATTTTGTCACCCTCAAGCAGACAGAAGTAGGCACGTCCCAGCAAATGGCTTTGGTCGTACATAATGATTTTGTCTGCATTCGTGTACAAATTAGTGGCCTTCATGAAAAGCTCGCGCTTCTTGTCCTTGGACTTCTCCCTATACGCCTCTTGTACATAATGGGCGGCCAGCATGTCATAGGCGCGCATCTGATCCGTTTTATAGTCACGGTAGTCCGTCGTGCCCTTATCACGAGCTGCTTCCAGCAGCATAATGAAGTCATCTGTCTTCTTCTGCTTGTAGTATGCCAACTGTGGAATAGGATATTTACATAGTGATTCCCCTTTGGGATCCCATTTACATATATAAACTAATATTTCTTACCGCCACATTGACCCAGACGTGCAAAGGAGCACGCTCCTGCAGCAATATACTAAACACTTCCGAACATTCGGGGAGTTGATCCGGGTCCACTTCGATGACCTGCAAGCATTTTTTTTATGCAAACACATTTACTTTTGTAGTACTGCGTTTCAATCTCACCTCATCAGTGTCCTGCAAAGGAATTTCGATGCACGCGGACATGATTGCAGTAAACGTGGCTCGAGAGCCAAACTATTTGTGACTTTATGGCGTTAAATTACACGAAAATCACAAGTTTACTTTCTTAACGCGGTACGCTCGCTAAAAAAAAACATTGACGATTTTTCGATACTTCCTACAAAGCATCGAGAAGCGTCCGATATTTGACAAGCAAAAATATCGAATCTTATGAGTCGTATATCGAGTGTGCCGTCGATTGGTCTGAGCTGGCATTGTTTATGGACAAAATTATGTAGTAAAATTAACAACATTTCATTAAAATTTAAATCGATAATGTATTAGGCTATCGGTAAAAATGCAGAGTGCCGTTCGGCGATGGAGCGTGTGCCAATTGGCTGTCAGTGTGCGCGCATTAACAACAAGGGCAGCAGCAACTACAAATTTCCAGCTACAAAAAGTGTACAAACAAACTCAAACAGATGTTCTGTGCCAATTACGTAAGAGCTGTAGTCGTTCAGCACTATTGGCGCAACAATCTATACCGGAGTTGATTGGCGTAAATCAGCTGTGTAGGCACACACACACGCACACACTCACGCAGCGAGGCATAAGCACAAGCAAAGCGCGTGCAGCTCAATATTCTAGGTACTCGGCCAGCACAATCATGAATTCGTATTGCAAGGAACTGGACCTGATGGACTATGATATCATCGGGTTCGATCTGGACGGCACGCTGTTGCGCTACAATCTCCAGGAGATGACGCCGCTCATCTACAACGTTCTCAAGAAATACCTGGTGGAAGTAAAAGGCTATTCGCCAGCGTTGCTGTCCAAGGATTTGGATATGGATTTCTTTCAGAAAGGTCTGATGCTGGATGGAGTTCGGGGTAATGTGCTGAAGCTGAGCAACGAGGCGACCATTCTACGTGCCTCGCACGGCACACGTCTGCTCAGCGACGAGGAGATCGAGAATATCTACGGCGTCGAGCGACGCTGGGATGTGGCCACAGCCTTTTACAATAATCCCCTGTCCACATGGAATGGTCCAGCATCGGAGCAAATGCGCACGCTGCTTGATTACTTTGACATGCCCAGCGCCCTGGTCTTTGCCCAAGCCGTTGATGTTGTGGACGATGAGAGCGGACCAGCTGGCAAGCCCAAGGAATACAAAGTTTGGGGGGATCTCCTAGAAGCTCTTATGCATAGCTACAACCGGGATAACTTCAGCAATGATTCCAGTCTCTACTTCAAGGCCATGCGTGCAGAGCCCCATCGCTATGTCCTGCCGAGTAGTGCCAAGCTGCTCGCCTGGCTGGAGCAACTGAGAAACGCGAACAAGAAGCTTTTCCTGTTGACCGGCTCGAATATAGACTTTGCCGATTTAACAGCCACACAGGCGCTGGGTCCCGATTGGCGGAAGTACTTCGATTTTATAGTCACCTATGCCAAGAAGCCGGGCTTTTTTACCCAGAAGCGAGCCTATTTGAATGTGGATGACGTGGCAAAGCGCGAACTGCCCAACACCGAACTGAGTCCCGTGGAATATCTTCAACCTGGCAAAATCTACGCACAGGGCAATTGGCACCAGTTGCATCAGTCGATGGCCAAACTCTTGCACAAAGACGCAAGCAATGCAAGGGCTCTCTACTTCGGAGACAATATCATACAAGATATTTATACGCCGGTCAAGCACAGCGGCTTCGATACGGTGGCCATTGCCGAGGAGCTGTTCCTGATGGAAGCCAAGGACTACCCCTTCAAGGCAGTGCTGCACTCGAAGTTTTGGGGCCCGTACTTCAACAACGGCTGCACACCCACTCTGTGGTCTGGATTCATAGCGAACTATGCTCAGATTTGCATCTCTTCAATGGATCAAATGGCGCAGACGGCACCAACTGAACGTCTGGTGTGTAACAATGTCAACGGCTTCTATCCGATGGTGCCCAAATCGCTCGAGTGCAGCAATCTGACGACCTCCTGGTACGGTGGTTGCGTCTGATAAGACAAGGCAAGACTCAATAAATAAAAATTATCTCTGAACCGGGCATTTACGAAGTGCATCCAAATTGAACTACTCGACGAAAGTCAAATAGGCATACAAATTATACTCGAAAGCAAAATAAACAAGTACTCGACGACCGAATTAATTAAGCACACGATATACTATATATTCCATAACCCCAAGCAGGTCTTTAGAATATCTAAGATAATTTGTATTTCATAGGGTATCCTATCCGTATATGTTCGTTGTTACCAATCGTAATTATAAGCAAGATTGACGAATGTACAAACAGCTTTAGCACGAGCAAAACTCATTAAATCGGTTGTTATTCAAGCGCTTTATACAATAAGTATGTAAATCTTACTGATACATATGTATGTACTTAAGCATTTTTTATCTATACATTTCTAGTTAAAGTATTTATGGATATAGAAGACATCATTCAATAGAAGAAATATATTACTAACAGATCCATAGCTAGCAATAAAATATATACACACCATATATGAATCATTTAACGATATCATTATATTTATTTGTGACCAACCATAATACCGCAAAGAAGAAGAAAATATTATATAACGAAAAGTGGAAAACACTTGTACAGTGCAAGCAATAATGGAATAAACAATAATTAGGAAGAGAACGTTGACTATAGACTACAAATTAGATGATGCGCTCCACGGCCAGTGCAATGCCCATGCCACCGCCAATGCACAGTGAGGCAATGCCACGTCGTCCGCCTGTACGCTCCAGAGCATACAACAAGGTCACTAGAACGCGAGCGCCGGACGCACCAATTGGATGGCCCAGGGCAATGGCGCCGCCATTCACATTCACTTTTTTCTCATCCAACTTTAGGCACTTTAGCACGGCTAGAGCTTGCGCAGCAAAGGCCTCGTTAAGCTCAAACAGATCCACGTCATCACGAGTCCAGCCAATTTTAGTTAGCTGCAAATGCAGAGATTAGCATGGGATGAGGACAATATGAATGCTTCGTTTACCAATGATTCCACGGCAGTCACTGGACCCAGACCCATGACATTGGGTTCGATGCCGCTCTGTGTCCAGCCCACAATTTTGGCAAGAGGTTTGAGACCGCGTTTGTTAACCTCTTCGCCGGACATGAGCAACACCGCTGCAGCCGAATCGTTGACTCCCGATGCATTGCCAGCTGTCACGGTGCCGCCCTCCTTGAAGGCAGGTCGCAGCCTTTGCAAGCCCTCCAAAGTGCTGCCTGCTTTGATGTATTCATCTTTGCTGAATAGTTGTGTGCCCTTACGATCCTTGATCTCCACTGGCACAATCTCAGCATCAAAGTAGCCCAGCTTCTGGGCTTGCTCAGCGAGCAGCTGCGATTGCAAGGCTTGAGCATCCTGAGCCTCGCGGCTGATTTGGTACTTCTCTGCCAGGTTTTCGGCAGTGATGCCCATATGTATTTGATCCATTGCATCGGTGAGGCCATCGTGCACCATGGTGTCCAGCATCGTTGCAGGGCCCATTTTGATGCCCTGACGCAGATGGACTACATGTGGAGCACTGGACATGCTCTCCTGGCCGCCGGCAATAACAATCTTAGCGTCACCTGAACGTATCGCCTGATAGCCCAGCACCACAGTTCTAGTAAAGCATATAATATAGTGAATATATTCAAAGCCTGAATCAGAATACCTACTTTAAACCTGATCCGCACAGTATATTAATACCATAAGCGGGCACCTCAATAGGCAAACCGGCCTTCAGAGCGGCTTGACGTGCGGGATTCTGGCCTTGGCCTGCAGTCAATGCCTGTAGAGAAGCAGAAGTAGAAGAATTTACATAACAAATTGAATTTTATTTGTAAGCGAACGGAAAACATTGATTTTCAAATTAGCAACAATGAGAGCTACTTGTGAAATACCTGGCCCATAATAACTTCGTTCACTTGCGGCGCCTCGACATGGGCACGCTTTAATACCTCCTTGATGACCACACTGCCCAAATCTGAGGCCTTCAATTTAGAAAGTGTTCCATTGAAGCTGCCTAAAAAATGCAAATAAGAGAAAGTTTCCCTAATTAAACATTACATCAAACTTGTATGAAATTGCGCATTTTACCAATGGGCGTACGCGCTGCGGACACGATATATACGTCAGACATCGTTAGCTAATACAGTTTCTAAGTGTTTACACTTTAAATGATAAATAATCAACAAATATAGTGCCGCGCAGCAAACGAACGACGTCTACGTTGTAGGCGCGCTCAACCAAATGTGTCTCGCCTTGGTCTGGCAGATTGTTCACAATGGTATTCGCCGAAAAATCGCACAATCGATTGACGATAACTACTTGTCAGTTGCTTAAAATTTATAAAAAACTTTGTTATTGAGAAGTATTGTATGTATTTGTTATTTCTTTTTTCTTTTAGTGTGATAAGCTATGCATTCTTACCAATTAATGGAGTACCACTTTTCTCTTAAGATATTAAAAACTATCGGTGCTGCCAGCCAAGATAAATGACATCGATAACAGTAATAGTTTCAATTGTTATGTGCCTGTATTTATCGATGGGTTGTTATATCGATACGGTATCTCTGTACACAGAAAATTATTTTATGCTGAAAAAACGCACAAAACGCGCATAGTAAACGCATTAAGAACAAACGCGCCCAGACCGCGACTCCTGGACAGGTTGGCAGCTATATAGCTTGTACAGATTGCAGCCCAAGTCTTAGCTTTAAGGAGCCGACACTAAGATACAGCGTCGACAGCAGCCAACAGCAACAGCCCCAGCCCTCGCCCAACACTAACAACTACAGCAGCAGCAACAACAACAACCACCACCCTAACCAAGACAACAACAACTAGAGTCGCACAATCACACAAAGCACCAGCAGCAGCAGCAGCAAACGCAACAAATAATAACATGCAGGCGATTAAGTGTGTCGTCGTGGGTGATGGTGCTGTGGGTAAGACATGCCTGCTCATCAGCTATACGACAAATGCGTTTCCCGGCGAGTATATTCCCACCGTCTTTGACAACTATTCCGCCAATGTTATGGTTGACGCAAAGCCCATCAATTTGGGCTTGTGGGATACGGCTGGTCAGGAGGATTATGATCGCTTGCGGCCATTGTCGTATCCACAGACTGATGTCTTCCTCATTTGCTTCTCGCTGGTGAATCCAGCCTCGTTCGAGAACGTGCGAGCCAAATGGTATCCAGAGGTGCGTCATCATTGCCCTAGCACACCAATCATATTGGTGGGCACCAAGCTGGATTTGCGCGACGATAAGAATACAATTGAGAAGCTGCGCGACAAGAAGCTAGCGCCCATCACATACCCACAGGGTTTGGCCATGGCAAAGGAAATTGGAGCTGTTAAATATTTGGAGTGCTCGGCACTGACGCAAAAGGGCCTGAAGACCGTCTTCGATGAGGCTATTAGATCGGTGCTCTGTCCCGTTCTGCAGCCCAAATCCAAGCGCAAATGCGCTCTGCTTTAATTTTAAGACGCACACACACACTAATACACACACACACACACATAGAACACCCACGAAGCATTGTATTTGTATTTGTCGTCAAGTCTATTTAATAACGTAATATTATTAACTAATAACAATTGTGTAAAATAAGCAGCAAGAGCAGCCGCAGCAGCCAGCACGTTGATAATAGGAGGAGAATGAGTCCAGTAATTGGAACTGGAATCTACGTCAAGCTGCCTCTATTTTCTGCTTTGTTATAAAACCTTGCCCACACACATGTGCAAAATTTGGGGATAACCGAATTTTCTTACTAATTCTGTTACTCGTCGTCCTTTTGTTTAAACTTCAAACTCTTTGTCTTGTTTCGTTTAAGTGTGTTGTTCCATGTTTTTCCTTTTTGTATTCAATTTGAACTAATTTCAAATATGTGCATTAATTTGAACTAAAAGTTAATTAAAAATTAATGTTGTAAAACCAAAAAAAAAAAAAAAAAAAAAACTTAAAAAAGGTAAAATTTATTAAGCAGAGAGCTGAGGGAATGTGAACACAGCATAAAGAGAATTAAAAGATAAAAGAATGCAGCCAGTAAAAGGTTCCGTTGCAATGACAGAAATATACTTAGATGTTGTTTAATAATGTACGGAAACTAGGGAAATGGCAGAGATTAGGCAGAATTGCAGCTAAAAACAAATATATATACATATAAAAAGGTAATTAAAAGGAATATAATTAATGTATGAGATGCATTTCCTAAGTGGAGCACGATTTCCAAGAGAACAATTTTTAAATTGCTAAAAAGTAAATGAATAAAAAAGGAACTACATACTTATAAGATAATGTCCTTCGTATACTATGTACATGTACTGATTTAAAATACACAAAACACAAAAAAAGAGTAAACAGGATAACTGAAACTTTGAATACTTTGTATTTTAAATATTCGAAAACGAAAGCAAATCTAATTACATACATATACATAAATGTGTCAATGGAAATCAAATAAAGCATACAGAAAAAAAGATCTTGAGTAACCCTAATGCCAGATGTGACATATGCAAGTATATACATACATATGCATTTAAATAATTATGTCTATATATGTATGTCTGTTTACAGATATTCATTTCGAGCGACCTCAACAGGTCTCATTTGGTTTTCAATTTCAACGTCGACGACAAAGTCGCTTATCACAGCGAAAAAAGATTGAAACATGAATTGAAAATCAAAAAAGAAAAGAAATAATGAAATCAGCGTCCAGCTTTTGTTTTTGTCGGAATGTTCTCGCAGCTGGAAATTAATCGGGCACAGCGGCGCAACAACAAAAGCGTTTTATGTTTATGTTATACGAGGCGGACGCGTTCTATGTGTGTGCGATGGCTAGAGTGAGTGTGTATCTGCATGTGAGAGTGTATCTGTTCTCATGACGTGTCCATAAACAGAGAAATTATGAATGTGCGACCCACGATGGACCAATCTCTTCCGCAGCAGCGCTGACGTGTGAGTTTCTGGGATGCATATCAATTAAGCTGGTAATCAAATCAATTTATGTATCAAATTCGTATTGTTATTTAAGTAAAGTCGAGTATAATGCACTTGTAAAGTTGTGTCTTAACTAGCTAACTATAAGTATTACAATTTATTTGGCATTCGAGTTGCGAGTTGTTCTTAGTGGCTATAGGGACTGACTCAATCTTAGAATTCGTCATGGCGTGCCAGAGCCTCACCAAAGTCCGTGGCCTGGGAGCCGACGAATATATCGTACTTGTCCAGCACTTCCTCCTTGGTCAGTTTCTGGTCGTGGTCCGAATCAGACTCAAAGATCAAATGCTTGGCCTCTGTTTCGGCAGTATCATAATCATTGGGCACAATCCATTGACGTATTTCCAGTTCAGTTAGGTATCCATCGCCGTCCGTGTCACGATGAATGGAAAACGACTCACGCTCGCTAAGTACCCATTCGGGCTCGGGCTCATTGGGTCCCGACGGGCGGTACATATCGCCAATGTATTCATCTATGGAGATTTTGCCGTCATTGTCCTTATCCAGATCCTCGGTGGTCTCCTTTAGCACTACATCACGCATGGTTGGATGCTCCTCGGGATGCAAAAATGCTGTAAACTCTTCGCGTGTCAGCTTATCGTCCAGGTCCTGATCGGCAACAGCCCAACGACGACGGTCGCGTGAGAGCATTTTCTTATAGGAAATGCCTGCCAGAATTTTATATGTACATTGCTTTTAAAATATTCTTAGAGACAAGCAGTGCTTACCATTCTCCTCTCTTTCCAACTCCTCCTTGTCCAGCGAGTCCATAAATCCATAGACTGTCTTGCGGTATACCTCCCAGTCAATGGTTGACTCGTTGTTTGGGTTGTGTTGACGCCACACTCGATCCACGTCCTCGTCAATGTAGCGACGCTGGGTGTATTGAATCCAGGCTTTAAGTTCGGCCAGATCGATAAAACCATCCTTATTTTCATCAATGCGGTCCACAATCAAACCAAGACGTCGCTTGCTCTCCTCCGGCGTGAGTTCATCGAACTTTTTGGCTTCATCTGCGCCCAGAAAGGCTTCGTGGTCGAACTGCGTATTGTGTTCGCCGCCATCGAAGTGTCTGCCATGTAGCGAATCGTGCTCGAGCGGGTCGTGCGGTAGTTCGTCGGCAGCCGGTATGCTGGACGCGGCGACCAAGCTTATCGCAGCGGCAGCAACAAGTAGAAATGTTCCAGTTCTCATTTTTCCCATCAGAGCGCCGTCTGCTCGCTTTGAGTATTCAAACAAAAGTAAATCAAGTTAGAATGAATTCCTCAAACGACGCATAAGGTATCGATGTTAATTAGCGATAGTTTTCGTCGCCTATTCAATTCGTCGACTACGTATCGATAAGCTGCAAATGGAATCGTTTGAGTAACGTATTTTCGTCAACTATTTTATATTTATTTAGCAAGTTTCTTAAAAATATTGCTGTGAATAATATAAATAAATATGAGCAGTTTTAATAAAGCACTATTTACAGATGGCCACGTGTGGATAATAAATTTATTTGTTGATCTGAACTGGCGCGACAGGATCGTTGACATCCTGATTGAGAGAACTAAAGTCGCCAGTGTTGCAAGAGATACTTGGAATCTCAAAATTGGAGAAGCCGCGATAGTTGGCCACCTCCGGTTTCAGTGGGGATGGCAATAGTACCTCTGAGACTGGCACATCACTGTCTATCAAACTGTCAGTCGTGGTGTCCAATAATGTTGTTTCATCTAGATGGGTAGTGGGGGCATTCCGCTGCTGCGCCAACGGATCAAATTCATCTAGATTTAGCTTGGACTCATCTGCGACGCTGTTCTCGCCGCTTTGATCTGACAAATCGAAATCATAGTTGATGTTTGTTAAGCCGCCCTGGAACTCTGTGCCCAACATCAAAACGTCATCATTTTCAGATGTCTCCTCCAGCAGCGAAACTGCGTCAAACGGTGTATAATTAAATATGGGCGAGGCAAAGAGCTGGTCTGGTTGCGGTAAATTCGGATGTAGAGGCGACAAACGACCCACAGAGCTCACGCTGGTATCCTTAAGCGCCAACGTGTGCCCCACGTCTAATTGAGAATCTTCGAGTATCTGTTCCTTGCCTTTAACTGTCAACGTTTGTTGACTGAGGCTGCGTAAATTGGACTGGTAGTGACCGGCAGCTGCTTCACCGCCATCCTGGGCCAAATGGGCACGTGCCTGGCTTATGAGAAACGGTGGCGTTTTAATGGGAAGCAGTGTGAGCGGTGCCTTTTCCATAACCATGTCCACTTTTTCTGTTATCTCGCGCTGAAACTCTATTAACTCGCGCTCAAACTCCTTAATGCCTGTGCTTATGACTGAGTTTCGTTTCTGCAACTGCTCCATACACTTCATATTCTCCGAGATTAGATGCAGGCTCTCACAGGCCAGCAACGCGCTCTCCCAGGGTGTGCTATAAGTCGGCTCGCCCGACATGTATGCATCAAACTCCTCTGCGCTGAGGCCCAGGCTCTCGGCATTTAGGTTCTCAATGAAGGCAATGGCCGAGCAAAGATTGGTGAAATAGTAGCCACCCTCGCCGCTCATGACTCGCGAGGCGTTGGTGAAGCGATTGACAAAGTTGATGTTGCTGTGCAGACGGACGGGATTCGCCTTCAGCACCACAAAAATTAGAGCCGGCAAGAAATCATCGGCACTGGCGGGTCCTCCCGTTGCTCGTTTTAATAACTCAAAAATGTGACGACAGCAGCGGACCGTGCAGAGGAGTTTCTCCTGCGGCGAGTAGTACGAGTCGATGCCCACCAGCTCCGATATGGCATTGTACACCAAGTCACGGGCCTCTGCATTCACTTCATCGATGCTACAGTCCAGATGCTTCGTCGTTATCCAACTCAACTGCCGTATGCGCTTTTGCACTTTGATATCGCATTCCTCGTCTGTGGTGAAGTACGGACTAAATAGCAAACTGAGAGAGAAGATAAGATGAAAAGTTGTTGAAGTAGTGGATATCCCCTTATTTATGACTCACTTGTGATTCTGTGTCATTACGACTTTCTCAAAGAAGTCAATGGCAATCTCTCGATCCTCGTTGGTAGCAATTTCAAAACGGGCATCGTTGTGGACAAGATCCGCGAATCTCGTGTAGGCGTTTTGTACGAGCTCCGAAAGTTCGTCCACATTCTTGCTGCTATTGTTGTTCATGTATTTGCGTATCTCATGATCCAGCCGCTGAATCTCCGATTTCAGCTTCCGTTTGCCATCGTCCGGGATCCGTAACTGCCGCAGCTGCAACATAAATTGGCTTTCGGTAGCACTTGGCACACGCGGCTGCGGTGCAGCAACCGGGAATTTGCTTTTCAGCGTTTTTTGCAACACAGCCGGAACAGTAAACTTTTTCCGGGGCATTGTGCTGGCTGTTGTTGTTGGCTCGTCTTTCTCTGGTTGCTTCTTTGCTTTGTTTGCACGTCCCGTTGTGAGCGAATGCTGCAGCGATTTGCGCTCTAGAGTTCCGCCAGCGGAACTGGTATTCACTTTCAAAGTTTCATGATCCTCGCCAGCTTTTTCTGAAAAAAATAAATAGGGGAATAACGCGCATGACTAACTGCTACAGCATAGATAAACAAGAGTTGAGATGGCTTACGCCTTTTTCGCTGCTTATCGTTGCGTTCGCGAAAACATTTCGAACAGAGTCCATCGAACTGTGTGTTCCCGTAGTAGCCACAGCCCTGACGGCACTTTAGGTCTTGCTGTCCGATTCGCAGCATGGGCGCACGGTTCGCCATCATTGGGCGTGGTTTTTTTACACAATTTTGATTGCTATGAAGTATTTGCAGCAACTGTGCGACTCGATTTTAACTCAAATTTGTATTTATTGTCGGATCAGCCACTCGATTGCAGATAAACAGCTGTTACACGGATTATCGTATTAATTTATCGATGTTAATAAACAGCACTTTACGATATTTCAATTTAATACCAAAATTGTGTACATCGATACGTGTCTTGATCGAATAGCTTGGCGGTTGGTTATTTGAAGTGTTAGATTCTTGGACTGCCGCTTACCTAGGAATTTAATAAATAAACAACCCAGATGAATAGAATTTTACTAAAATTATATTTTAGTATTATTTATTGAAATAAAAAACATTTATATTGCAACTGAGGGCACAATTTGTTTGGATACATTTAGTAAAATCGAAGTGCCTTAGGAAACATCTCACAAAAGTCTTAAATTCTATGCATAAAACATGTATTTAAAATGAAATTTTGTATTGTAGGCATTAGAATTAGGACGGTTACACAAATAGAATGCAACTTCTGGTATGTATACAGCTAAATGGGTAGATTTTAAAAAGTTATACATGAAAAGTCAAAGTTGGTAATTAGCTAAAAATGTTCACAACAACGATTTGAAAAAGCTCAGAAAACACACATAACTATGTATGTAATTATGTAGACGACAATTCGACTACGACTAGACTACAAAATTTTCAAGTTGACCTAACTGCTCTACATGTCGATTCATTTACTAACATTGTTTTGTTGTTCCCAATTAACAAATTCAGATTTGCGCTAAAGAAAACTTTACTTGCAAGAGGCTGCCATACGATTCTCAATGCGATCCCCAGCTTAATTGACGCGCTCCACAAATGCATTAATTCCACTACTCAACTCTAAAATGGTCTATTATCTCTACTCTAATTCCTGCCTACCATAGTTGCTTTTGTTTTTTAGCAGTACAAAGATTTGGAAAAACCATTTGTTCTTCTGTTTTAATTAGTCTCACAATTGCTAATACATATTTTTCGAAATGCAACCTTGTATTCGTGTGCTCAGCTATCGTTAGTTACGTATACTTATCATGAACTTTTCTCATTTTCCTACTGCTCCAATTCAACCGTTTCATAAAGTCTCGTAAATAGTTTTAACTTAGATCTAAACTACTTATGATGGATGTCTTTGGCTTCCGTTTGTTTTCATTTTTTTGTTGTTTTGTTATTTCCTTAAGTTTTGAACTCTATTAGCTATAAAAAATTGTAATTTATCGATAACACGTTTTTAACAGTTACGCCGCTTTGGTTATAGTTTTTTGATTAAACATTCCCATTTTGCAATCATTTTGATTAATTGTTTCAACTTTTGTCAATTCTCTACAAAAGATTTGCGTTTTGGTACAAAAATTTCAAGTCTAACAATTTGTTTCAATAAATTCCTTGGTCCAACTGAATTGCAGTTGGAATTCTGTTGGCTGAAGAAACTGCAGTAACATCCTGCTTGTGGATTATATTGTAGTATATCTGTATATATAGTCAAACAGTGTGTGTTTGTGTGAGTGTGTGTCTGTGTTTTGTGGTATGTCTCCTGCGTGTGTTGCAAACTCAAATAGATTCTTGTGTTACACATTAAATAACATTAAAATATGAGTACTTTAGTCGCTAGAGCTTAGGTCTACAAAACGCTTCATAGAGCTTTCCATATCAAATTGGCTGTTTCAAAAGTCAGCTAGAGTTGTAACTAGTCCAAGGATCTCTGCTTAGACATGTTAACTGAAGTATTTCAGGCCCGCAATCAGCATAAATTTCTCAATGAACAGCTCAGAGTCCAGCACCTGCAATAAAATAGATAAATATTAATATTCCCACTAATGTCGGACATTGGATCTTACCGCAATATGAGCAGCTCTTCCAATCAGCGTGTTGGCCGTGTGGGGCAGCGCGTGGTGGACATCGAAGCGGGCGAGCGTTAGCTCCGGCCTGGCCAAAATGGGGGCGATGACATTATGAACCATTTCCCTGAAAGGAGCAAGGCAGATAAGTCTCTCCACTAGACATACCTTCTGTTCATTCTAACCCACCTGTAGATGGTGCCCAATGTGGAGTTGTCCCGGATGGCGGCCTTGCACAGCTCCAGGCGTGCCGAGTGGGCGGGCACATAGCGATCCTGGCTAGAGCCGCAGAGCAATATGTTGCTGAAGTGATGCAGAGTGCTGCGCTGGCTTAGTCTGTAGAGGAAGCTGTTGCGCATGTCCGTGGTGTCGCGCATGCACAGCTGCAGCAGCGAGCCCGACTTCTTCCACTTCTGCATGAACCACATGCCTGAGGAGAATGAGCATGGAGTTATTGAATGCTTGGACTAGCTGCTCGCACTTACCCATGTTGACCAGGCCGCTGGTATTGTAGAGGGTGCCCAGATGCGGACCGGAGAGCGAGAGGAACGTGTGCAGGCGCGGCAGTAGAGGGCGCATCTGTGGGCGTGCCAGGGCGCTGCGCACGATGATGGTGCCCAGCGAGTGGGCCACAAATGAGATGCGTGCGGGATTCAAGCCACAGCTGTCGATATGGTAGAGAATCTCGGCGACCAGCCTGATGGACGTAAAAGGGAATTAATCTATATTCTGGGCAGACAATTCCGAGCACTCACCGATCAGTCATGGTGTCGAAGTCAGAGAAGGTATCGCCCTGATTGCGCTCCGACATGAGAAATTCAAGATTCACGCCGGGCAGACCCAGCTCCAGGTAGGTGCGCACCAGCCGCAGGTCCGCCGAGTTGCCATCCAGGCCGTGCACACAGATGACCAGGTGCATGCCGTTGGGCGAGAAGGCGCGATACTCGTCGCTGATGTAGAAATAGGGCAGCTCCGAGGCCAGCTGCACGTAGTCCGAGTAGATGTTGCCCTGGTATTTGATTTGCTTGCGGAACTCCTCGCGGCATTTCTCAAACTCCAGGAGGGAAATGCTGGGACTGGCCTCCTGCCCAGCGGGCTGACCCTTGCGCTTGGGCTTGCTAATGGAGCCGTTCGACTGCTTGTTGCGCACCAGCACCTGGCCATTGGCGGCGTTCTCCTTGTCCTCGTCCTGTTCCGTGTCCACGCCATTCTCCTGCTTGCACTGATGCTGTGGGGGTCGCTTCAGCTCCGCCAGGCTGTGTGACTTGAGCACCGGCTTGTTGCTGAAGATCGCCGGGGTGGACATGGGACGCAGTGACTCGTAGATGTGGTACACGGGATTGTCAATGGCGCCTATGGGCTGTCGTTCCTTGAGCGGCGGCGGCGGTGGTGGTGGTGCCAGCACCACATGGCAGGCCATCGACTTGGTCTTGGACTTGGCCACGGCCGGAGCAGCTGGAGGGGCAGCTGGCATGGGCATGGGCTGTGGAGCTGTAGCTGGAGCGGCAGCCGGAGCAGGTGCTGGCTCCGGTGGTGGATCGCGAAACTCGTCGGGTGGCGGTGGTGCTAGCACTTGCTCCTGCTCCTGGTCCTGCTCCTGATCCTGAAACTGTTGCGGTGGCGGCAGGCAAACTGCATCCAGCGGCTGCATATCCTTCAAGCTGGTAATATCAAAGTCCGACTTGGACTTTTCGCACCTGGCAGCGGCGCCGCCTTTGTGACGGCGTCTCGGTGGCGGACGCTCCAAGTCCTCCACCTCGGTGGATTCGCCATTTGGCAGATGGCGCAGTCGATCCAGTTGAAAGCGTGAACGCTCCTTCTTGATGGTCACGGTCACCGATGAGATCTTCTTGTGCAGCTCCTTCTCCTTCTCCTTCTCCCTCTCCTGCTGCTGGAGACGCGCGGGCGTGCGGCTCTGACTGTTCCCAGCCGATTGACGCTTCCGCTGAGGCTTGTGCGGCTGCTGCTGCTGCTGCTGCTCGAGCAGCTTCTGCAGGCGCAGACGCAGCTGCTCGCCGTTGAGCCGCGTCTCCAGGCCCATGCCCATGCCCAGGCTGAGCTGCGTGTGTCGCTGCTTCTGCTGCGGCCCGGTGCTGGTGATCGTGTCCGGGCTGGAGACGGCCAACGAGCTGCGCCGGCTGCTCACCCAGCCGCTCTCCTCGCTGAGCGACGACGTCGAATTGCTGCGCTGCCGTCGCGCATCCGAATCGAACTCGGGCGGCGGCGCCAGATTGGGCAGCGATTCGCTGAAGCCGCTGGTGTTCGGATCGCTGCTGTTGGTGTTGTTGTTGCTGTTGACCGTGGTCGTGGTGGTGGCGTCCAGCCGGAAGGGCACACTGCTCGAGCTGAGCATCTGCAGCTTCTGCATCATGTCGCTCTCCGAGCTGCTCGACTCCTTGCGCAGCGCGCCCTGCGCCTGGCCCTGGCGCAGCATCTCCTTGATGTCGGACACACGCACCCGCGCGATCTCCACGGCGCGCGGTATCTGGGAGCTGTTGCTCCTCGGCATGGTCGTGTACTGGCTGGGCGGGGGCGGCGGATAGGAGTTGCGCGGCGGCAGCATGCTCTTGGGCAGCGAATTGTAGGCGCCGCTGCTGGCCGCCGGCTGCTTGGGCGGATTCAGCAGCTTGATCTCGTTCAAGTAGTCGAACTTGCTGGCGTGCCCATAGCGCTGCCGGAACTCGCAGATGTTGCGCATCAGGTCGTCCGCCTGGAGGCGCGCCAGGCCGGCGGGCAGCGTGTTGTAGCTCACCTGGCGTCCATTGCAGCTGGGCTCGAGCACGTGCGTCTCGGCGGCTGCAGTCTGGCAGCCGTCCAGCTGATCCAGGGACTTGCTGTGCCGCGTCGGCAGCGCCGTCTCGGTCGGCTCCGTGCCCAGATCCTCGAGCAGCCCGGTAACCGAGTGCCTGGACAGATTGTGCCGCAGTGCCACGGGCTGCGCCTCCTTGCTGCTCGGCGCAATGGTCAAGCTGGCCTGCAGCACCTCGCCGCCGAGGGCAAAGCGTGGCGTGACCACGCACTTGGCATGCGGATGGGCCGGGCCGCTGCCATTGCTCGCCGGATAGTCGTAGTCGAAGTGACAGGCGAGGCAGTCCTTGGTGCCATTGAGGCTGCTGCTCGAGTGCGTCTTGTCGGGCGCCAGAGTTTTCTTCTTGCTCGCCGCCGTCGCCGTCTCATCCAGCTGGGGATCGCTGCCGGAGCGACGCCTCCCATAGCTGGCGCCGGGCACCACATACCGATCCTCGAAGATCAGCGGCAGCGAGGCGGCATCCCCGTCGATGGGCGTGCAGTGGACGGGCAGCGGCGGCAGCGACTGCAAGTAGCGACTGCGCCTGGCCAGCTCCGCGATGCCCGCATAGCCCTGGCAGTGGCCGGGACTGCCGTTGCCGTTCATCTCGTGGCAGCCGGTGGCCGCATGCCGCGGCTGCTCCAGCACAAAGAAGCCCTCGGCAAAGCGGCGCACGCGCAGAATGTGGTGCTTGCGTGCGAGCAGCGTGTGCACCGCCGTTGAGGAGCGGGAGGCGAGCAGCACGCGACGCCACCAGAAGATGCTCTCCGCGCACAGCTGCGCGATGTCCGAATTGGCCAGCGTGGCAAAGTCGTCCTCCGCCTCCAGTTGCTGCAAGCAGAGATCAGAAAACCTTTATATTGAATTCTTGAAATTCAGGACAAATCCTCACCTTGGCCTGCTCCAGCAGCTGCTGCAGTCGCTCGCCCGTGTCGTTCTCCCGCAGCGGCGGCGAGCCGATCTGCGCATTGATGCTCGGCGGGAGCACGGTGCTGAACTCGTTGAGGGTCGCCTTCAGCTGCTCGATGGCGCCCAGCAGGAGGCTGCAGATGTCCCGATGGATCTGACGCGACTGCAGCAAGCGGCCAGTGGGCCCGCCGCTGCACTTGGTGGTGCCGCCTATTTGGGGGCCAAAGAACACGGCCTCCAGGGGCCCAGGCGAGGTGTTCCCTCGGCAGCTGAGCTTGCCGGCGCTCCAAGGCTTCGAGCTGCGTGGCGCACTGGAAGAGAGTTCAGCTGGAGTCAGAACTAGTTACGCGACTACACTTCAAAGAGCTACACACATACACATGTACACTCACTCACACACTCTCTCTCACGCACACACATACACACGCACACACATACACATTGAAAGCACTGCAAAGCTTGGCAACTAGACTACAAGTGGATGAAATTAGTTACCCAAAAAGGTATTTTGAAATCTTACCATAACTTGATATATGAGAATATGCTTTTCCTGCACCAGAGAACGGTATTTTGTATTATTTCGTAGTCGTGTGTTAAAGTCGTTCCATGCGTTAGATTGTATATTGTATATTATATGGGTTTATATGCGAATATTGGTTGAGATTCAAATGAAATGAAATGAAATGAAGTGAAATAAATGTGTTGAATTCCATTGGAGCAAATTAAAAGAAATGCTTGTTTAATGGGGCTTATATACGATATTTAACTGAGGCGTGGCACATACCGTACCAAGACTGTAAATTAAGGAAAGAAAAACTAAATGGGACTTAAAATCTAATATACCTTACAAGGAAAATAGTTTCAGCAAATGAAAATTGTAGCAAAATGTAACTTAAAGTTAATCCAACTAAATAATTTAGCAGGAACTTGCGCACAGATTGTGCTTTAGTTTTGGGCCAAGTGGAGGATAACCGGGCAATTCGGAGTTAGCGCAATGTAATCAACATCAAAATTCCGAGCAGACAGGGGCCAAGGTCAACAAGGAATTTCAATTCAAGTGGGCTAATCTATTATTCATGGCGGTTCAAGCTCGGCGCCTCACGGATTTCTCTAGATTTGCGCTCTCACACGCCATTCGCTGAAACGTGTATTAATGGGTGGCCAGGTGTGTGGAATAAGTTTCGATTTAGCGATACAATATCAAATAACTGTAGCTTTAAGAGTTGCCAACAACTTTAGCTGGCCACAAGAGCTATGAAGGAGTTTTTTTGTTCAGGGAGGGCGTGCCGAATGTGGCGTATACGAACTTTTGCTGAATCAAACGGCGTAAAAATTGACTGCGCCACGGCTGCAGTAGATGCTGTGCAGTTGGTAACAGGAGTAGCGATGCCACGCCCCTTCCACGAATGCCGCCCAAATGATGCAGTCTGTTGTGGTTGCAGTTGTCGTCAAGTTTGCCAAGAGGAAGACAATTGAAATACGCGCGGGAGACAGAGAGAGAGAGAGAGAGAGAGAGAGGGAGGGGGAGTCATTAAAATGTAAGCATGAGAAGCATCAGGAGCATCAGAGGCCAGAGCTGGCGAAAGAGGAGCCGCCTCGACAGGACTTTTATAACATACAGCCGAGAGAGGGCAGTGGCAGGAGGCGGGGCGTGTGTTGTGTGCAATTTTAATGAGTTGGAAATGATTTGTGCGGCCAGACACTGCCGCTCCAATCAAGCTCAGCAGGACACGCACACAAACACACACACACACACACACATAAACAGGGACAAGAAGAGAAAAAATATATGACTATCAACGTTGACATTAGAGATCATGTTGTCAACTCTCCCGCTCTCTCTCTCCCTCTCTCTCTTACTCTTCCTACTTTGCATGTCTGCCCAGACAAAGTGGTCCGGCCCGCATTCCCGTTCCCTTCCCTTCCCATTCCCATTCACTCACTTTATGTATGGCTGATGCAGGGCCACGAGGCTGGCATGAATGCCCACACTGATGGCCGCCAAGTGGAAGTAGTCGAACAGCACGGGCAGATGATAGTGCAGTCCGCGTCCCGGATGAAAGTTCAACTGCAGATTGCGTGTGGATGCCAACGTCAGTTGGCTGCTGCCGTTCTGTTCGCCGAACCATAGCTCCAGCTGCAGCGAGAACTCTGCCCGTTCGATGGACTCCTTCAGGTGACGGCTGTCAACTGCAGAGAGAAAGAGATAGATGGACAGAGAGATAGAGATAGACCTTGTGTGGGCTGTACTTAATATTGTCATATGTTCAACTCAAGCACAAGCTCAAACAAATTCCCAGCGCAAATAATCGTTTGCAGGCATTCGCAATACTTCAAAATATTTTCTTCCTCTTCTTCTTATACTACATTTAGTTGGGGCTTTAGTTTGGCTCGTCAACATTGATTATTGGTTTTCGCTTAAGCTAACATTTATTGTGTATGCCAGGCTGAGCTAGTTTAAGGCAGTTAATGTGCGGCTAGGCAAGCTAATCAATACACGCCTCTGACTCATAAATTCAGCCACAGGAACTAACAGTAAATCTTGTTACCAATGCGCCTGGCCACGCGGCGTATACTTGATGTCATTTAATCAAATTCAATTCGCTTCACACCTGAACGCGCGTTTATGGTCAGCCAAAGCAAGCGCACACAGACAGAGATAGTATTACTTACACATATATACACATCGAGCTCTCTCTATCTCTCTCTGTTTCGCTCTTTGGCTGCCTCAACTCTTCTGACTAACATAAAATTCATTTGTTTTCATAAAACGGGGATTTGCGCGGCTAAAGCTAAGTCAGACTTCAGTCTCATTCAGAGGCAATAAAAGTAAAGTTGCGCACCACATGCCAAGCCAACCACCCAACCAGCCACACGACCCACCCACATCAGTCTGTCAGAGCTGTACTTGGGCATTGCTCATACGCCCTGTGTGACAATTGTTTGACAGTATTTGTGTATTTGTTTTGTTCTGTTGATTTTTATGCCGTTTTTATGTGTATATATGTATATGTATCTTTAAACGCTGAGCTCTTTGAGTGAAGTGCGTGGCGAATCCCCTGGCATCAGTTCTGCGGCGCAGTTTATCATGCTGCCTGCGACAATTTGCAGCACGCTGCAATTGCAACAGCTCGCACCTGAGACACGTGTAGAAGAGATAAATTGCATAGCTACTCAACGCTTGCGTGTTGTCTGCGGCAACCGTTGTGGTAGGGGCAAGGCGGGGATGGGGAGATGGGGAGGGGCACTCAGGCATTGTAGGAAGTATAGCAACAAAAAGCTGTCAAGTAAAAGTAACTTTTTGTTTAGCTGTGGTATTTTTTATTGTTTTTGTTTTTGCTGCCACTTCACAGGATTCCACTTTGCTGCTGCTGCTGTTGTTGTTGTTGTTGTTGTGTGGAGGGAGCACGCAAAACTTGTCCAAATGAATTAATCACTTTACCCAACAGCCGAGTGGATGATGTTGTTTCCATTGTTGTTGCTGCTGCTGCTCACATATTGTTGCTGCAGAAACAAGAGCAACTACAAACAGCAGCAACAACAACAACAACAACAACAACGGAGGTGTCGGCGCAACACACATCACACAAAGCCAACAACAGCAGCAGCAGCAGCAGCTCTCGGGTATCTGATGAAGTCTGCCAAGTGCTCATCAGCCGACTATACAAATGAGCATGTGGCTGAGCTGGCGGAAGGGTGCCAGGGCGCAAGGGTGGAAGGGATACTTAATCAGATTGGAATATAATGTAATCACTAAGCCGCACCTTGAACAAATGCTAAGCTCCTATGCCCTAAAAGCATGGCAAATAAAATGTAGTTTGTGAAGCTGCCTTCAATGGAATTATCCTAATCTAATCTAATCTCATTTTAAAACAGTTCTGTTCGAGTCCTTTGAGAGATTTAATGCAGTGATAGCTGATGGAGAAGGCGTGGGATTAGAGCCACTCATAGATAGACATTTTTGGACAAAATTGTGATTAGTCTTTGATTTTCAGTTCTTTCTTTGTTGCCTTCTAGAGACTTTTGCAGATTCTAGAGACTCTTGCGCATAAAAACATGTTTAGTAACTAAGAGTTAGACTACATTATGTAGAGTTTGATGAATCTTATATAAATCCAGACATGTGTGATGAAAATCACATATTGTTCTTCATCTACTTCTGCCTTGCTAGGCTTTGTCAGTAAATTTGATTTTCGCCTCTACTTCACCTCCTCTTACTTACCTCTGCATCTACCTCTACCTCTATATTAAATATTTATTTACACTTAAAAGCTTACAATATATTTCTACATTTCCCACCTAGTTTTTATGGCTCAATAGACTTGAGCAGCAAACTGAATTTTTTTTATAAAAACAAATAAATAACTTAAAAATGCCTGAAAATGCTGTCTATTTGCCCAAAATTTATTTTCATTGTGCTTTACGCTGTGCAGCAGGCGAACAAAACATTTTGCCTCTCGTTCTTCTTTTCTTTTCTTCTTTTATTATTATATTTATTTATTATTATTTTCACTTTTTTTACTGCCTTGCCTCCATTTATGAGCGCTCCGCCCCTTAGCATCGCCCCCTCGACCCATGAAATTGACTTTCAATTTGTTTCCCATTTTTGCGCCTGGTTAACTTTTTATGCCATTTTCATATTGTCTGTGGGCATGCACATAACACACACACACACACACACACACACATACACGCTTCTTCCCTAATCTGAGGCTGTTGTTGTTTGCATTTTGTTGCTTTGATGTTGTAGCTGGGCCTGCAAGGCACTCAAAGCGTCTGCCAATACTTTCAAATCAGGTCAATGCAGTGGCCAAGTCCCTTAAATGGGGCTGCAAAGTAACGAAAGACGTTCCCAACTATGGCCAACTAATTGCGCCTTGGTTGACACATAAAGAGTGGGCGTGGCAAATGCAATTAGAGAAACGCTGCCAAAGTTAAAGTTACACTTCCCATATATATATACTCTATCCTATATATACTCTACATACGCTCAGCAGTTGGTCAACAGTTTGAGCACTTGGGACAGGCGCCCTGGCCATAGAAACTTTCTGGGCCTGTCAACGCGAAAAGTTGGCGCAGCGACAGCCACTTGATTTATATATGCAATTGAATGGAAAACTTTATCGTTGACTCGATGGCATGCATAATGCACTCACCCAGCAGATGGCTGCGGAAGTGTATGACATCGCGCAGCGGCACCTCCTCGTTGCGATAGAGTATCTGAAAGATGCGTGAGGCGCCGCTGCCATTGATTATGGTGGCGGATGTGCAGCTGCCAATGCCTGGCACTGTGGCCGCGTCCACGGGCGTGGCCAGCTCATTGTCCCGTTCGTTGTCGCTGGGCTCGCTGGAGGCGCCATTGGGCTTGGCATTGGGCGACTCGGGTATGCTGGTCTCCACCTGGACGGGCAGGCGGGGTGAAACGCGCAGACCGCAACGCACCTGATAAAGCCTGTAATGAAAGAGGGAGAGAGAGAGAGATGGATTGGTATATTAATCAACCATTGCATTGATAGCAATTTGCATATAAATATATGACGTATACGCAGCGTGAGACGTGTTTAAAAATATATATAGCAATCACAGTTCTTCTGCTACTAAAATGTATTATTATTTCACATATTTTGCGAGCATAATATATACATATATATTTATTTTAATGTACTTCAGATGAATTTTAAAATATTTACAGATCATATTCCCATTCGCCATTTGCCTTTTGCTGTTAAAAGAATATAAAAATTTAAGCACACAATTGCTTGAAATTTATTTCAATTTTCCGCCGTTCGTTCGCTGTTTTTCCTTCTGTCTCCCATTTCACCTGCCATCTCTTTTCCACTGCCGCTTTGTTTATATTTTTGCGCAGATTTTCATGCGAGTTTCGGTTTTATTTTCGGTATTTTTTTCATGTATTTTTAACACACGAGCTGCCGCCTCCCACCTGACGCCGGCCCTCTCCCTGCCTCTTTTCCTCTCTCTGTCGTTGTGCGTGTGGCATAACGGCATCCTCAAGGGCTGCCGTCAACAGCAGCACAAATACAACAATAAACCAATGCAGCAACAACAACAACATGAACAGCAGCAACTGCAATCGCATAAACACTTTGCTGACAATTAGTGCCTGCCGCATTTGCCACGCCTATTTGTAGATTTTTCTGCTATATATTTTTATATACCCTGCACACATTGAGAGTGGGTATATAGTATAGAGTATATCAATTAGAATTTATTAAAATTTTTAGCTGAGTCTAACTGTCTCTAACAGAGAGATTTCTTGAGCTCAACTTTGGTATTTCGCATTCTCGGAAGTCCATTGGCTTTTTTCTTTCCATTCCACATTCCTGCCCAAAATCAGTTTGCAATTAAGTCAGGGTATCTGCTAGTCGACTATTCTTTGCCTCTTCTCCTTCTCACGGCCTTTCATTTCCCTTTGTTTGCTTAACACTTGGCGTACGTAAATTTTCTTCTTTTTTTCAAGTTTTTTGCAGCGAATTTATTGCTTTATTTTACAGGTGTTTCATTTCGTGTTTCAGGGGAATTCTCGTGAATCTCTTGTATATTTCAGATATTATATATGTATGCGTTTATTGACCCACTTTTGAGCAAGATATTCAATTTAATTGCCAGCATATGTGAATTTATGGCAATGCCCAATTCACTTAATATCAAATCGAATGCACATTTCTCACAAATATTTCGAGAATTTTCTTGATTTTCTCGCACTTACCCGCGCTGAAAGAGATCCACATTGAAGAATTTATGCAGCTCCACGGAAAACTCAATCGTGGCCTGCAGATCGCCCATGGCTACGGCAGTCGCTACGACGGCAGCTACTCCTTGGCCCGGTGGCTGTCAGCTGGACAACTGCAGCTCAGGTTGTCATGCAGAAGGTCGTTGAGGCTGCAAAGGGAGAGGGAAGATGTGAGTTGAAGTGTTGAACAGGGATAAATTGAGTGATAGAGCGAGAGCAACTATCCCAGAGAAAGGGAGAGAGAAACTGTGATAAGTGGCTACTCTACGTGTTGGCACTGGACTCGTTGGCATCCGTGAGTCAAGTTCGATTAGGCTGCACAGGCCGCGCTCTCAATATTTATTGCAAACTATTGACAGCTCGAGCAATTGATTGGCTTGTAATTGTGCAGAAAGTGTGCCAAGTGGGTGGGACAAGTGCGATGCGGCTGTGTCGGCGTGCTGGTGGTGCTGGTGGTGGTGCAGTAAGCTAACCAGCTGCCAGTTGCCAGCGGCTGAGGTTAGCAGGTCAGCCACACAGTGAACACAGTGAAGAGACAGCAGCAGCAGCAACAGCAGCAGCAACAACATATTGTTGTTGGCAGGAAAATGGGAAAGCCGTCATAAGAATGAGGCCAAAAGCAGGCAAAGAAGACAACAACAACAACAACATCAAAAAATACGCGACGACAACGACGGTTACAACTTTTAATCGTCCAAAACAACAAAAGCGTCTTTCGCATTCAGCTACGAAGGGCATTGGAAATTTGATATGAAATATGTAACACATGTGCGGAAGGACCCTTAAGGCTGAGCAACTGAATCGATATTACTGCTGCGACTAATGCTTAACGAATTTACTTGGCAGAGCAAACTTAGTTGATATCTGCCTTAAGTTTAATTTGTCTATATGATTCTGAAATAGCTCTGGTATATTAGACTTTAGTTGTGGCCACAGATATCTCGACAGAACTTGGATAAGTTTAGTTTTGCTTTTATCTTGCAGCTGCCTCTGTTATACGTCTAACTTAGTTTCAGCTTGAAAAGAGAAGTTAATTGAAAGCAGTCAGAGTTATCTTTCACTGCCTTATTACAAATTATATATATAAACACTTTACTATCTCTGCTATATGAAATAGTTTATAAAAACTTACATCTGCTTATAACATTTCCTTGTAACTAGACATATTCTCTCACTACAATTCTATTTATAATGGATAGTTCTTATTATTTATGTACCACACGTCTTATCTACTTCTTGAAAAGCTCTTCTTAATGCTATAGTATAGTACACTTGGTACTATATAATTTGCCTGCTTCTTAGCGTATTTAACCTTCGTCTTGTTCTTCTTTCCATTTCCTTTTTGTGCTGCTGTTGTCAGTCAAGCGCTAAGCCCACGCAGCGACGCCCACAATAACATTAATGTGCTGCAGTTAATGCCGCAGTCAGTTGTGCTGCCTGCCTCATCAGTCTACCTCTCTCGCTCTCTCACTCGCTCTGACTGCAGTGGGTCACAGGCTGCCCCCTGCGCTTGTTGACACAATGGCAAAAGACGTTGATACAAACAGGCGCCGCTTATACTATGTCTCTCTGTGTGTGTGTGTGTTAGCCAGCCCCATTGTCAATGTGGGTTAACCAGACTGCGCCATTTTCTAAAATGAAGTACATAAACAGTACAGTTAAGCAAAATGCAGAAGAAGAAGAAGAAGTAGCAGAAGCAGAAGCAACGGCACCTGCCTAGCGAAAGTTATGATGCTGCTGCCAGAGATCCTTACACAAAAGCATACACACACACACACACACACATACATAAATTTGTGAGCACACATATTTGCCGCAATTATGGTCTAGTTCACCATTAGCAACAATCCTTCTTCTGCTTGTCACGCCTCCTCGCAACCCTCGCAACCCTCGCCCCACCCCATCAAAATGACTTCTAATGTTTGCTGCTGATGAAATATGCAATTTTATGCCAATTTCGTATTTCGCTGAGTTTTGTAAATTAAAAGCAAATTTGTAGCGCTGCGAAAGTTTTGCGACGCACGCGTTTAGCTCGAGCTCTAAGCAAATATTATCCATACGCAGCGTTGTCTGTTTGGCTGGGCAAATGTGCATAAACTTTGTAACTGGGTCAACTCGAAAGTTTCATGCGAGAAGCAAAAACAATAACAACAACAACAGAAAAGTAGCAAAAAAAAAACTGTATGCTAAAGCATAACAAACAACACGCAGCAGCAGCAATATAAGGATATGCTAGACTAACAGGATATGCTACGGGAAGCCAGCTAATGAAGCTGTATGCTCAATTTCCTCTAAAGAAAATCTAATTTAGAAATAGTTCTTAAGTTCATACCAGAAAGAGATAGCTGAATATATACAAAAGAGCTGAAGCGAATTGGGTTCACGGATCGTATACGTAATATACATATATGACAAACTATTGTAGTCTCTACGTACAGCCATGATTAATGCCGACTCCAACTAGCCCGTTACATGCTGCAGACTCCAGTCCCACATACCCTCGCATAAATCGGCACAGAGTACAGTGCATAATAATGAGGCAGTCGAGTATAAGGGACAACTTTCTAACGGCTCATCCTGCACTTTGTAATGGGCAGCGGCATTTTTGTTATTTTTTTCTTTCGGCTTTTCAAGTTGAGTTTTGTTGGGGATTTGTGCGAGCAGTTCGGCCAACAATTGAATACATTTTGGAGGCTTAACAAAAGCGAAATTTTTGGCTGTTGGGACGAAATAAGCCGGCCACAAAGCCCGTAATGCTGATAGTTTAAAGTGATTTGAAAAAGTTTTTAATTGGACATTAAGCGAGCATAAGAACTCAGACAATGCCAGAATAGGGGAAGGAAACATTCTGCTGCGAAATATCATTTCAGATCTGCAGTCACTCTCTTTGGCTGTTACATTTGGATATATACTTGGGTATATGGAGAGCCATCGAGCTCAGACGAAGCGCCACTCGAAGCAATGGAACAAAACAAAACACTTGGCTACAGAGACTCTGCAGCTGATGTGAATGACGATGATTACGATTATGATAATGATAATGCTATTGCTGCTGCTGATGATGATGATGATGATGATGCTCATAATCAGGCAGAAGACATTGACTTTAATGGCTGACGCGGATTCGCGGGGGTTTGTTGCCCTAACGTCCTGTCGCTGACAACGAGCACCAATAAACGGGAAAAATCAAACCGTTCGTGCTTATCATCATAATGATTATAGTACCTAATGCCTCCTTTGACTCTCGCATCGAGCATCAAAATGGCCCTGGCCATCAGCATGCCGCTCATTTATCCACTGTCTCGCCACATGCCACCCTCTCTCTCTCTCTCCCGCTCCCCCTCTCACTCTCTCAAATTCTCGCCTTTTTTTTGTCTGGCCACCACCCACGCCTGGGCTTTGTGGGACAGCCTCCGCATCTATGTAAAGGAGCCGTCAATGGCAGCAGCCGGCCCCTAGATGCTGATAAGCTGTGAGCCGGACCATTGCCTCGATTTGTGGCACGTTTGTTTTCTTTATGCTCTTCAAGTTTTCTTCTTTTTGATAAATAGTGTCCTGATACTCTTCCTCCCACGCACACACACACACGCACACAAACACCCACACACAGATATGTGTGAATGTGTTAATGTCTAAGGTCAACCTCGATGGGCTCTTGATAAATGTGAAAGAAGCTTTTCATGTTCATATTTCAATTTAATTTCTGTGCGTTGGCTCATTTCCTAACAGGATTCATGGCTGGCCTTCTTAAAGCTCGGGCTCATGGCCATAAATTCAATTACATTTTCATCTTTCTTTTATTACTTTTTATTAAAATTCTGAGAGCTTCAGCTTTTCCAAAAAAAAATGTTTCGTTTACAACGATTGAAATCTTATCATTTTAATGGAATATTGTTTACATATTGTAAAATTTGAAGTATGCTAATAATAATTACTAAGTGAAGATCAAAGGCAATCAAAAAGTGAGAGAAAGAGATAGAGTGACGTAAGGTGAAGTAGCTGGAAATGAGAGAAACACACAACGTGAAGACTGAGCGATAGGAGAAGAGAGAGCAAACGAGGGACGGAACGAGAGATATATGTAAATATAGAGAGTAACAGCACGAGAGATGGATAAAGAGAGAGGGAGAAAAAGAGAGAGCACATTTGATAGATGGAGAGAGAGAAAAGATTGAAGATGCGAGAGAGTTACATATGTTTGGTAAAAATTGAAAGAGTGAGAGCTAAAGAAAGAGGGAGAAGATAAGGGAAAAACTTAAGGAGCAGAGGGATGGGATGTGCGAACAGAGTAATCTAATTTATGTACATAAATATATCAAATTTAAGCTACATATCAAATTAAGTATTATATATAAAATCCAATAAATTTCATAGAATTTCCACAGGTATTCCAGCTAAACTGTACTAGACAGTATTAAAATCTTCTTTTATTACGTTGTCTCTGCTGGCTTTGCTTTGCTATTGATGAAATTTGAGGCCTGTTTGTCGACTTTGCCTGTTGTATTCTTTTCTTTTTTTGCTGAAGCCCTCTTTTCGATTGCCCTGTCACCTGGACACGCCCCTCTGGGAGCCCCTTGAGTCACGACACGACGAGTCACAACAGGCCGGCCAGACACACAGGAAATAGACAATTTTGTGTAAAAGCTGCGGCAGACAATCCGCAATTCCCCATCTTCCTATCTATCTCTCCCCCTCTCTTGCGCCCTCTCTCTCTGTGTGTTATAGCCTTAGCAAAGATCAAATGGAATAGCTTTAAATTATTTAATAAACAGCGAGAATAAAAAAGTATTCGAAAGCTCTTGAATTTTGCATTGCCAGCGCAGACATTTTCCCAGGCATGTCATAAAGAATGCCCTCAAGTGCCGCCGTCCGTGAGCATGAAAATAATTTCCCTACTTGCTGCCTCCCTTCTCTTTCGCCGTCTCTCTCTCCCTCTCTCTTTGCTGTCGTTCGTGCGGAATGAAAATTGCCAACAGTTGCCGCTGCAGCTGTCGGGGCAGCAAAGGGTTGCGTCTTGGCCAAGTGCATCGCGTGCTTATGGCCATGCCAATGGGGTAGCTCACGTGCGCCCTGTCCAAAGAGGCCAAAGCCAGAATAATATAACAACTGCAACAATAACAACAACAACAACTTCAACAGTAAAGGGCGCAGAACTCAGCAACAACAACAACGTCGAGATGAACAACTAAAGGAACAATAGCCAACAAATGCTTGGGAACCAGACCAAGTGCTGGCCGGGAATGGGCAAACGGAGGCGTGGGGCGTGTCGCATTACATGACCGGAAAGTGTCTAGTCACGTGGTCAACAGGGAAGCTGTAACTGGAGGCATGGGCGTGGCAGGAGAAGGTAACAGAAGATTGAGCATGTGTGTGGGGAGCAATTGTGACTTATTTATGAAACGAATGCGCGAGAAAATATGTTATATAAATTGGAGTTAGACGTGGTAAGGGCGGATAGATGAAATGTGACTCTGGGAAGGTATGAATTCACCTTGGATCAAATATGTGTTACACTTGAGTGTATAGGGAAGAAGCATTAACAAGAAGTTGCACGTGCAATGCACGTGATTCAAGACGAGGATATCTATTCAAGTCTCATTTATTTGATTCAATCCATGCCATACAAAATTTGTTAGCCTAATAACAAAATTGATGAAGTATAGTTATATAATAAATATATTATATGAAAGCAAGAATCAATGGGGATTGTCTAGTAAGTGTAAGGCAATAGATGTTTTATCAATTTAAGTCGTATCTGTATATATAGAGAAAAGCTGATCAACAGAGAGTGAACTTTACATATAATATTTTTCATCCGAACAGATATTATGAACCCAATCTACAGCCTTGTCTAGATTAGAATTTAATCATAATACACCTCATATTGAGATATAACATCCTAAGGATCGATATCTTCATAATGAGTGCTATAATATTATAGAGCTGTCTATCAGCATAATTATATTGCTCTATCTTCATAATGAGTTCTGTAATCATGATGATCCGTCTATCAACATTATGATATTTCTATTTTCATGATAATTCGATACGTATATGATATAGTGATATATAAAACTTATATACACAGAGCTTAACCTCAAGCTAGAGTGCCGTTAGTCAAACCATAACAAGTTATTTTTTGCAGTTTAAATGTGAGTTTTTTTTCGAAAATTTGTTGTATTGTAAAAATTTTAATTTGAAACCAAATAAGTTGTGCGTGGCATGACTTTATTAGAAGCCTGACGGCGCTTTTTAGGGTTGCAACTGGCAAACCACTTGAGTTGCTGCTTAAAGCATGTCGCACTCAAAACGCTGTCCATGCCCCCATGGAGTACAATGCTCCATGGGCGGGGAGCAGCGGTGACAGAGGAGGGCAGGGGGTGGGCCAACGACTGGTTGGAGGTGCAACTTGAATTGGCAACAGACCGAAAGGCGGAACAGGGCACGAAATTGAATTGCGACTTTTTATGCTACCTGACATCCATATATGCACCATTATACATAAATGTGTGTGTGTGTGTGTGAGCATGTGTGTGTGTGTGCATTTGTATAGCGAGACGGGAAGGGCCTTATAATGGCAAACGGGATATTTCATTACATTTGTGCATGCATGACTGCCGACTAGTAGTAGATGATGTTGGCGTGCCACGCCCACACACACACGGGGTGACACACACATACGCACGCATATGTATGCAAAAAAAGGCAACATTGTTGAAATGTGCAAATATTGGCTCAAGTGGCGGCAATAAAAGAGTCGCTCCGGCTGGAGGGGCTTGGGGGAGTGGGGATCAGAGGGCGTGCTCATGTTTCTATTATGAGATGTGCTTGGCATTCTTTAGGCCAGCTTCTTGCTGTGCGAGGTGCGCACAATTTAACATTGAATTAGGCATGAATTTCCCATCTTGACTTTTCTTCTCTTTTCTTCTTGTCGCAGCCAATTTCAATTTGGCTCGGGATTCGAATTGCGCTTGACCTTTTGGCCACGCACCACACACCACGCCCCACGCCCAGTCCAGCTGGCCACGCTTTTTGCATAATTGCAAGCGGTTCGTGTCAACGCCATATTTCACTGGCTGCCAGGGATTTGGATGGATGCGCATAAAAATACAACATAATATAACATGCTTAACCCATGGCTGGGCTCTGCATGCTGCCCTCTGCTTGACGGCTGACGGCTGCCGGTGGCCGGCGGACGAGGCGTGGCATGCTTGTGGCTTGTGTGGCAGTTAACTTTGCCGTGACATGTGCGGCAAGCATAAAAGAACCGTAGAATGTCATGTTTGTTGTGGGCCGAACATGACGTCGAGTGGACAACGAAACGATGACGACGACGACGACGACTATGACGACGGCTATGACAGCTACAACATGTGACTCACACTGGAGAGGGGGCGGACTGCGGCGGGTGGAAAAGGTGACTGTGTCAACACATTGGTAAATGACACTGAACAACAACTGCCGCAGTTTAGGCAAGGTTAGGGCGAGCTACCGGAAAGTTGAGGCTGATAAGAAACGAAATGAAATGCTATTTAAGGTGAGCCAAGTCGAGTCAGCCAAGAGGAAGAAGTATGAAGTATGAAGTATGAAGCATGAAGTATGAAGCATGAAGTACGAAGCATGAAGTACGAAGCATGAAGTATGAAGTATGAAGTATGAAGTATGAAGTATGAAGTATGAAGTATGAAG